ATAAAATGCATTTACACTTAAAGAAAAAAAAATATTCAAATAAAAGTATGAAAATCAAGCGAAAAAACAAGCATAACCTAAAAAGTTTAAGAAAAGAACATTTAAGTGCAAAGAAATTATAAACAATAAATTAAATTCTATTTGCTGCCATACTTCAGAATAAAACCCAAAATAATAAGAAAAACTAAAAACACTACAGAAAAAATAACTAATAAATTAAAATAAAACAAATTAATCCCCCTAATCCTTAAAAAAAATACAACATTAAATAGCAAAACATTGGTCAAGCAAAAAACTAAAACATTTAAGATATTCTTAAATACAAATTGTACTTCAAAAATATTACAAAAAAAAAACTATTAAATATTTTATATGGTATTTGCAAAGTACTCGTAACTTACAAAAAACATTACATTATACAAAGTATAGTTAATTGAACAAAAAATTAAAAAAATTAAATTTCAAAATATTTAAATTTAAAAAAAAATCAATGAAATTGTCTGACTGTGAATGAGTTTTTATGTAGCTAGCCAAAAAAAAACAAAAACTATTAATAATAATAATAAATTAGAAAAAAATATAAAGAAAAAAACAGAACATTAACTAAAAATTGCATTAAAAACATGTTTGAATATACTCATGAAAAAGTATATCTAGATTTAAATCTAGTTTATAACTTTGTAAAAACAGAAAAGATACTGAATAAGAATTATATGCTTTTTTTATATATATTAATAAATACTTATTATTAGTCTAAATTATATACTTATTATTATTATTCAAAATAATATAATTACAATTAGGTTCTTCTTATAATTTAGTTCAAAATGATAAATCAAATAAAACATTGAAATTATTATTCCAGATTCAGATACTGAACATTAAAATATATATAAATTAAAAAAAAAAAAAAACGGTATTCACAAATTCAGTTATATGGTGTTTTATTTAAAATGAAGTAGGTATTTAAAAAAACTTTAAAAAAAATTAACTTCCCGACATCCACATATTTATCTTCAAGAGGTAAGTTATATTCGGCCATGCCGAATCTTACATATACATAGTTTTATTCTCTATCGAAGAATGTTATGTAAATGTAAAGTGAATTTCAGAAGATGTTCTTATGCATGGACTTAAGTTTTAGAAGTTTAATGAGTGCTTAAGTCAATTGTGGGCCGATTTCTATGAATTTAGTTAGTTAGTTAGTTAGTTAGTTAGTTAGTTACTTAGTTACTTAGTTACTTAGTTAGTTAGTTAGTTAGTTAGTTAGTTAGTTAGTTAGTTAGTTAGTTAGTTAGTTAGTTAGTTAGTTAGTTAGTTAGTTAGTTAGTTAGTTAGTTAGTTAGTTAGTTAGTTAGTTAGTTAGTTAGTTAGTTAGTTAGTTAGTTAGTTAGTTAGTTAGTTAGTTAAGTTAGTTAGTTAGTTAGTTAGTTAGTTAGTTAGTTAGTTAGTTAGTTAGTTAGTTAGTTAGTTAGTTAGTTAGTTAGTTAGTTAGTTAGTTAGTTAGTTAGTTAGTTAGTTAGTTAGTTAGTTAGTTAGTTAGTTAGTTAGTTAGTTAGTTAGTTAGTTAGTTAGTTAGTTAGTTAGTTAGTTAGTTAGTTAGTTAGTTAGTTAGTTAGTTAGTTAGTTAGTTAGTTAGTTAGTTAGTTAGTTAGTTAGTTAGTTAGTTAGTTAGTTAGTTAGTTAGTAGTTAGTTAGTTAGTTAGTTAGTTAGTTAGTTAGTTAGTTAGTTAGTTAGTTAGTTAGTTAGTTAGTTAGTTAGTTAGTTAGTTAGTTAGTTAGTTAGTTAGTTAGTTAGTTAGTTAGTTAGTAGTTAGTTAGTTAGTTAGTTAGTTAGTTAGTTAGTTAGTTAGTTAGTAGTTAGTTAGTTAGTTAGTTAGTTAGTTAGTTAGTTAGTTAGTTAGTTAGTTAGTTAGTTAGTTAGTTAGTTAGTTAGTTAGTTAGTTAGTTAGTTAGTTAGTAGTTAGTTAGTTAGTTAGTTAGTTAGTTAGTTAGTTAGTTAGTTAGTTAGTTAGTTAGTTAGTTAGTTAGTTAGTTAGTTAGTTAGTTAGTTAGTTAGTTAGTTAGTTAGTTAGTTAGTTAGTTAGTTAGTTAGTAGTTAGTTAGTTAGTTAGTTAGTTAGTTAGTTAGTTAGTTAGTTAGTTAGTTAGTTAGTAGTTAGTTAGTTAGTTAGTTAGTTAGTTAGTTAGTTAGTTAGTTAGTTAGTTAGTTAGTTAGTTAGTTAGTTAGTTAGTTAGTTAGTTAGTTAGTTAGTTAGTTAGTTAGTTAGTTAGTTAGTTAGTAGTTAGTTAGTTAGTTAGTTAGTTAGTTAGTTAGTTAGTTAGTTAGTTAGTTAGTTAGTTAGTTAGTTAGTTAGTTAGTTAGTTAGTTAGTTAGTTAGTTAGTTAGTTAGTTAGTTAGTTAGTTAGTTAGTTAGTTAGTTAGTTAGTTAGTTAGTTAGTTAGTTAGTTAGTTAGTTAGTTAGTTAGTTAGTTAGTTAGTTAGTTAGTTAGTTAGTTAGTTAGTTAGTTAGTTAGTTAGTTAGTTAGTTAGTTAGTTAGTTAGTTAGTTAGTAGTTAGTTAGTTAGTTAGTAGTTAGTTAGTTAGTTAGTTAGTTAGTTAGTTAGTTAGTTAGTTAGTTAGTTAGTTAGTTAGTTAGTTAGTTAGTTAGTTAGTTAGTTAGTTAGTTAGTTAGTTAGTTAGTTAGTTAGTTAGTTAGTTAGTTAGTTAGTTAGTTAGTTAGTTAGTTAGTTAGTTAGTTAGTTAGTTAGTTAGTTAGTTAGTTAGTTAGTTAGTTAGTTAGTTAGTTAGTTAGTTAGTTAGTTAGTTAGTTAGTTAGTTAGTTAGTTAGTTAGTTAGTTAGTTAGTTAGTTAGTTAGTTAGTTAGTTAGTTAGTTAACTGTATTTCTGGCAGAATTTTTTCGAGGGCTAAGTAAAATCGTAGTTCAATGTTATCTACATTTAACACCATTCGTATTTAATACATTTGTTATCAATGCAGAGCACTTAAGGAAAATTTCATCTTCCCTCCTATTTCTTGCGGACCCTTTTGTGCCAACGACAGACGAACGGACAGTCTCAAGTTTAAGAAATATCAGACGGGAGGAAACATTTAAATCGCCTGGGAAGATGTTTCGTACTTGTCGTGCACTTATACATACCTACTTTGGCAACTATTATAAAAAAATTATTGAAGTAATAGCTATCGGATTCAGACGAATGTAGAGCATGTGGAGAGGACAGTGAAACTCTGGAGCACTTTCTTTGCCACTGCCAGGCATTCGTCGAAGTTAGATCCAAATATCTTGGAAGTGATGTTATTCCGGAAATAACATTCCTGACTAACACTGACTGGAAGATTCTTAGGAATTACGTTCAGGAAACTGAGTTTATGAACACTGAAAAATAATTCATTCATTCATAATTCATTCAGTTTTTTCATGATAAGGAGTGCACAACAGGCCCGATAGTGGCCTAGGTGTATTTCTTCCGATTTGATGTAATACCTATACATCCTCCTATCAACCTTCCTACCTACCTAATAGCTATGATTATTGTCTGGATAAACTTAGATGCAGGCAATGTTTGTCAATTTGTTTCGACAAATTAAATAAGAATTGCAGATATATCTGCACAAACGCAAAACAACCCACTTTGGGGAACTACTGTAAACAAATATTGAATAGCTATGATTGATGTCAGGATAAACTTAGACGAAGGCAATGTTTGCCAACTTGTTTCCACAAAGGATCGACAACAGATGACAAGTGTTACAAAACTAAAGTTTGTCCAATAAGAAAAGCAACAACAACCTGTTGGCAACATTTGCAACAAAACAATTAACAAAGTGGTCACGCATTTAGGTACACCGAACCGCATATAGCAGGGACCATACCTTGTCACAATTCCTAAACATAATAAAGCTTTAAAACAATTTAATATTAAGTATAAAATAAAAAAATACAATTTCTATAAGTACCTGCTTCTGGCACTTGTTGCTCCGGATTTCTTTCAATTTCTATTTATTTTTCACAATTTACACTATTATTTTACATTGCCTGTATAACACACAATTTAAGAAACTAATTTTTATTTACAACACTTTACACTTTTTACTATAAAACGGAAATTTTAACAAATTACTAAAATTTTCACTTGATTAACTAACCGTACGGTAAAAGCGCGAAAAATAACTAGCTTCTAAAGAGTTGTATTTGACAGTAGCAGAGTTGTATTAGGTGACACTGACTTTTTTAGGCAGAGTTGGAAAATTGACGTACCTAGTTTTTAGTACATAAAATACACAAATATGTAAATCGGAAACAGGAAATACAGTTAATCTTAGCAAATTTTTTGCAATAACAAGAAATTTTTAAGTGATTTCTTTTTAATTGTCTTAAATACATATAAAATATACTTTTAATGATATTTTACTTTAATTAAACTGAGTTTAAATTTGTTTATATTTCTACATTATCTATTAAAACAAACCGGAAAAGGATGTATAATATAAATAATACAAAGTTGTACTTACTACTAACAGAGTTGTATTTTAAAGTAGAATTTTTTGTGACAAATAGGTGTAAAAAGGTTTTAGTACTTATGAAGTTATTCAAATAATAATCCAAAGATTTTGATTTGGTATATTACTTGAGCTAATCTTTTACTAAAAATATTTTTCCCAAAAAAATCGACAAAAAGGGATATTTTACAAAATATATTATTAAAATTGAGGGTAATCGGTATATCGATTCGTAAGAAAAAGTTTTGGAAATTCTATATATACAATTAATTTAAATAAATGCTTTTTATTGAGTACAAAAATGGATTGCCCATTTGTATGGGTGTGTTTTAGTAACTAACAAATTTTCCGGTTTTACCGAGACGAACTCAAAATAACTGTAATTTGCTGCAAATGATTAGACTTCAATACTTTCTGCATAAAACCTGTAAATCTTGTACTATAACAAAGCTTAGGTTTTTAAATTTTCTTCGCATAACTTTCACTAAAACTTCAATTGTTAAAGCAAAACTTGCTTAGTCTTTTTTATTCACTTGCTTTTCACTATTAGCATGTTTTCGTTTAACGTGTTTATTACGATTTGAACTATCGGCAAAAGTTTTATCACAATACTCACATGAATAAGGTTTAACGCCCGTATGTATCTTAATATGAGCATTAAGAGCGCTGAGAAAACGAAAACGTTTAGTGCACTGACCGCAGGGAAAAGGCATTTCACCGGTGTGTGTACGTTCATGGGCAATTTTTTGAATTTTTGTGCGAAAATCCTTTTCACAATATTCACATTTGAAAGGTTTCTCTTCTCGATGTAGTACTTGATGTTGATCAAGGGAAAGGTATGTTTTAAAACTGTAAAACGGTAAAAAAGTTACATTTAATATGTCTAATTATGTTCTAAATACTCATGGTTATCTATACCTTTTATTACATATATTACATTTATAGGTCTTTTCATTTACATGGGAATAAAGATGAAACTCCAAGCTACTTTTATTGGTAAATGTACGATCGCAATAACTACAGGCAAATTTCTTTTTATCTGCAAATTAAATTTAGTTATAAACTTTTTAAATTTTTTAATAATCATAATGCACTTACGATTATGAACTTGTTCGTGTACTTTCAAACAACTTTTATACTGAAACTCTTTGTCACATTCCGGACATTGATATTTTGACTTAAGTTTAATGTTAGTATGTTGTGTTTTATAATGATTTTGTAAACCGTATGGGTTATGAAAACTTTTAAAACATTCATTACAGGATACTATATGAGCATATTTATTCGCATCTGGGCAATTAACACTACGATGGTAGGAGAGTTCTTCATAGTTCTGGCAACTTAAGTCACAAACTTCGCATTTTAACTTTAAACTCGGATGATGTTTTGAACGTATATGATTGAGAAAGTAATTATAACGTGGTATTACTTTTTGACAATCAAAACATTTATAATATAATTTATCGATTTCTGTTTGCTGATGTTGGGCCGCTAGATGTGTGTATAAATCCAAGAAATTGTTGAAATTGTTGTCACAAAGATAACATAAGTAAGTATAGGATTTCCACGAATTCAATTGCTAAAAATGGGAGAAGGAAGAAGTTGTTTATATATAGTTTAAGTTTATTCCCATAGTTGTCAGATATTTAGATATAATTTATCAGAAAAAACAAAACAGCCTATTGCAATTTTAAGAAACCAAAGCAAATACTGGCAAATACCAAAGCTTATTTCTTGTTAAAAATATCAAGCTTTTAACAAAAATATTAAAAAAAAACAAAAACATATTCAGTTGACTTACCATTATTTCTTGTCCTTTATTTTCAGATTGCTCTCTGTCCGAATTGGTTAATAATTCATCATCTTCCTCTTCATTCTCCTCATAATTATCCACATATTCAAATTGAATATTTAATTCCTTATCCGGTAATATAATAACTTCTGTCTGTTCAGCGTCCAACTGTTTATCTTCTATAACCTCTATAGGATTTTTAATAATATTACTATCTTCCAAAACATGATGTTCTTCTATTAATGGTTCCGGCTGTTCAGAAGTCTCTTCATAATCGAGATATTTGTCACTACTATCCTCCGTTAAGTCTTCAGCATTTTCTTCTATAGTTTCGAGTATTTCATAGGAACTCTCCATCATGGCTTCTTCTTTGGTCATATCTAGCATATTGTACACTTCTTGTAGTAAGTTTTCGGGGGAATTTTTAGACTTGGATTCCTTTATGGAATAGTTTGTTTTAACTGTTATACACTTTTCTAGTTTGATTTGTTTTAAAGGAATTTCTGTTTTTTCAATTTCTTGTATATCTGTTTCTTTTATAAATTTGACTTTATCTTCCTTTTGCTGGGAAGAGTTTCTCTTTCTGGGATTTTCCTTAATGGCAGATAAAGTTTTTACTAGGGATGTCTGTGCGGATTCCAAGTTTTTATTTGATTCTTCCGGTGTCGTGATATTTGGATATAATGCTTGCAAGGTTTCTTGGGCCTCAGTTACTTTTATATAAAATTTATGTAATTTATTTAAATTTCCCATACATTCCTGGCATATAGTTTTAGGTAGAGCATCCTGCATTTTAATATTAAGCTGAAAACATTTTCGTAATTTTTCACAGATTTCATTAGATTCATCTTTAATGGAGACTAAAACGTCTATTTTACGCAGTGAAGCACATAGACGGCATAAGTCCACCATGGTATTTAATTTATTATAATTTGTTTATTTTCTTATATTTTCCGCACAAAACGCCCGAAAATGTTTGTTTACAAAATTAATGCTTCTTCTTGTTGTCTAAATCAATCACCTCGTAATGATGACTTCAATATTAGAGGCTTCAATTATATTTATCAAACAAGCAAATCAATCAATCTATCAATCTATCAAGCTATCAATCAATCTATCTATCTATTATCTATCGATCTATCTATCTATCTTCTATCTTCTATCTATCTTCTATCTATCTATCTATCTATCTATCTATCTATCTATCGATCTATCTCTCTATGCTATCTTCATCTATCTATCATCTATCTATCTATCTATCTATCTAGTCTATCTATCTATCTATCATCTATCTATCTATCTATCTATCTATCTATCTATCTATCTATCTATCTATCTATCTATCTATCTATCTATTCATTATGGTCACGCACTTTTTATTGAACAAGAAAACTTAATAAATGTTTGGCAGCACTGTAAACAGCTGTTTATTGTTACTGTATATAGACGCTGAGCGGATAGTGTGTTTTAGTACTTTATCATTTTAAAAGTTAAACAAGTAAGTAGTCGGGCGAGGCCGAGCATTTAATACCCTACACCTGTATACGAATAAAATGTAATTCAGTTTTCATAATAAAGCATTTAAGTTGAATTGTACCTTGCCTCAGATATACATAAGCCATTTATTGTTTAATAAAACTGTGGATATTTAAGTAAAATTTTGATGGGCGCTTTTTATAGGGGCTAGGGTCAAATGAGGCCCTATAATTATAAAGTTCATCTGGGTCATCAATGCTAGTATAGAACTTGGTTTTGCAGCTTTTGTCGATATACGAGTATATTAAACATAATTATGAACTTATAAGCCCTATTTGGCGGGTTCAGTTGTATGGGGCCTAGGTGAAATAATGGACCGATGTTAACTATTTGTAGTTTGATTACAATGTTTACAAGCCCTCAAAATTGCGACCTGTAGTCTGATTACAAGGTTTACATGGACGGACGGACGGACATAACAGAAAATGATTCTGAGCCAATTGGTATACTTTAAGGTGGGTATAGGACAAATATTATTGTGCGTTACAAACCCAATATACCCTCCCCACTAAAGTGGTGTAGGGTATAAAAAGTTGTATTTGCCAACATTTTGTAACAGTTTACTTAAAAATGGACACTTTTTTGAAAAACTTACCAAAAATTGAATTACATGCTCATCTAAACGGCTCATTGAATACACAATCGATCAAAGAACTTGGACTACAGTTGTACGGTGAAAATAGTGAAGAGTTTTTAAAATTGTGTGAAAAATTCACTGAGTTTAATAACACTGATTTGGATTATTGTTTCCAAAAGTTTGCCTTTATGCATGAGTTGACGGCGACTAAAAAAGGACTAAAACTTGCTTGTGAAATGGTTATACGAGATTTTGCCCTCGATAATGTCATCTATTTAGAACTAAGGACTACGCCCAAGGTCAATGAGCAAATGACACGCCGGCAATACATACAACTTATAATTGAAGCTATACAGGAGTGTAGCGTAAAGTATAATATAATGGTTAAACTTTTGTTATCTATTGATCGTGCTCAAACTGTACAAAGTGCAGAGGAAATCGTGCTATTAGCTCAACAATTTAAGGAGTTACATCCCGACATAGTGAAAGGAGTGGATTTAAGTGGAAATCCCAATAAAGGCAAGTTTAATGATTTTATACCAGTTTTAAATAAAGCCAAACACTCAAAGCTAAATTTAGCTCTGCACTGTGCTGAAGTCTCAAATCCGCTAGAGATTCAGGAAATGTTAGATTTTGGTTTTGAACGCTGTGGTCATGGTACTTTTTTAAGCCCACAACAGCTTGAACAATGTCTTAAAAGACACATAACAATTGAATGCTGCTTAACTAGTAATGTTAAATGTGGCACAGTGTCTAGTTATGATAGTCATCATTTTAGACATATATTTCATAATAATATTAAAGCAGTTTTATGTACAGATGATAGCGGGGTATTCGATACCTCCTTGACGCAAGAATTTAAATTAGCTTGTAAATATTATGAACTAAATAGTGATGATATAAAAATATTAACTCTTAATGCAATTGAAGCCTGTTTCGCCAATTCACAGGAAAAGACTGTGCTAAGGCAACATGTTGAAAAGTATTTTAAAGAAACTAACGAAAATTTGAAATAAATAAACCAAATTTATTAACTGGATTCCTCCATTTGTGAGCTAACATCTTCACTTTCTATAATCTCATCAAAACTATAAAGAATTTCGGGATTTTGTACATAATTTTGAATATTATCTGTAGCAGTATTTAGCTCCTCTGTGCTAGGCTCGTTTTCCAACAAAGCTGCTTCCGCATTATCTACACCATCAGTGGCTAGGTGTAGCTGATGTTTGCGCATATGCTGCCCTAAATGTGAACGTTTTATATAAGATTTACCACATAAAACACAAATGTGTTGTTTCTGGCCCGTATGTATGGTCAAGTGACTACGTAAATCGGTATGTTGGCGAAAACTTTTATCACAGTAACTACATTTATAAGGTTTTTCCCCAGTATGTGTTCTCATATGAAATTGCAAGAGAAAAACACGAGTAAAAGTTTTATTGCAAACTGTACAAACATGAGGACGTTCACCCGTATGTGAACGCATATGAACAGTGAGGTTACTCTGTTCATAAAAGGTTTTATTGCAAATTGTGCAAATAAAATCTGCCTGGCCAGTGTGCCTGTAAAATGAAATTAAAAGAAAAAAATTAATTTAAATCTAAAGTGTAATAATATAAGTATTAACCTTTTATGATGAACATTTAGTTGTGATTGTGTTTTAAAGGATTTTGTGCAATATTTACACTGAAATGGCCGCTCTCCTGTGTGAGTTCTTAAATGCATACGCAAAGCGAATGGAGTAGGAAAATCACGTTCACAATACACACACTTACGATTTGGATCCTGTTCATATACTGGCGCTGAGATTTTATCTGTTTTCAGTTTTTTATTTTCCGCAATAATTTCATTATTTATATCTAAATAATTACAGTTTTCAACATGTTTATTAAACTCAGTTTCTAAAGAGAACCAATGTTCACATTTACTGCATGTAAAAAAATGTATGGGATCGTGTGATTTTTGTAAATGCTTTTGCAAATTGATGGCCTGTTTAAATATGGCGCCGCATATATCACATTTATACATATGAGATCTTTTTAGTTTTTCACTTAGTGCTTTAGTTGTACTTGTAAGCATAGATTCATCTTCCTGTGCCACCACTACAGTTGAATCATCCCATGAAACAATAACTGGAATAACGTTCCCAGTTTCTTCGGCTACTAAAGGTAAATTTTCGCTTTTATTTTCTACTGTTATAGTCTCTTCTATGTTAGTTTCCAGTTGATTTATCTCTGTTTCATTCGTTGTTTCTGCAATGTTTTTCCTCAGTAGAGATAAAGTACTTTCCTGCTGCTCATTTATTTCTATATCTTGTATTGGTTCCAGCTCTGCTGTTTCTTTCTCTATGGATTCCTCTTCAATTATTAAATCTTCCTCTACTAAATCATTCAAATCCTCTGCACAGTATTCTATTATATCATTTGAGTTTGTTGAGGTTTCCTCAATTTCTATAATTCTCGAGTTTTCTAATAATTCATAAAGTATTTCTTTGGATTTATTACATTTATCACGAAATTTTGATGTTATTAAAAGTTCTCTCGTACAATTCTCACACAAATATTTGGGAAATATATCACCTTCATTGATCTGTAAAGGAAGTTTTTGTTGAGAAATTTAAAATCGTTTAAACATTTCATGTTATCCACCTGCAGGTCAGCACATGTTTCCAAAAGTTTGCTTAGGTTTGTATGTAATTCCTCCAACTCATCGTAGATATTTATGAGAACATTTTGTTCTTCCAAACAAACGCGACAAGTTAATTCAGTTATATTTACCATTTTTTGTGATAAATTTTAAAAGAATTCCATTTTATCAAAACACCCGTAAAAGAAATTTATTTGTAAACAAATCAATGTCATTTTTTTCTTTTACCTCTAATCAATTGCCAGACTGTGTTTATTGTATCAGCGTGTCACTCCGTAAGCTATTTAATAAAATCTCTCTGGGGATGTTATTTTACTTTTTTAAAACCTTTTAGTTAATTTTTTTAATTTTTAAAACTTACTTATTTTCGTTTCTATACGTTTTAAGAATATTTTTGCTGAAATATTTTTTATAAAGTTTGCTTAAATACAATTTAAAAAAATACTAATTAGAGGAATTAAAACCGTTATATACATACGGTTACCTTATAAAGGGATACTTTAGTGTGGCAACCTTGTTGTTTGATATTTGTTGACAAGCATCTGTGAAAATTAATTTCGTGATGGAATTTAAAGCTTACCCTATAAGAACAGTGACAGTCATTTGACCGGTCAATTGACTGTCACTACTGAGAATATACCCATCATTGCGTAGAACAAAGCTCCCATCACTTTCTTAAGGGCAATATGTAAAAAGTGATGGAAACATTTGTGTACATGTGATGTTGCATCACCCTCGCACTTATGAATTCTATCGACTTTAAAACATATATTTGAGCTGCTCACTCTTTTGTTGTTTACTAATCATGGATGATATAAATATTAGTCATGATTGACTAATCATGCTTGATGGATATATCCATCACAGTTAACAAATAAAAAATGATGCATTAATCGGTCATTGTTGACTAATAACATTTGATGAATATATCCGTCAAATCTGACGGCTATACCAATTTATAATAAAACACAATTTATTGATATTTTAATATATATATATATATATATATATATTGTTAATTTTATTAATATAGTAATCATATACATAAATTACCAGTCTTTTCACTATTTTACATATCTCGCAGAATCTTAAGTCCTTTGATGCTCCTATTAATTTGTGGAAATAAGTTGTCTGTAAAGAAATACATAAGTATTCATAAATATCGAAATATAAAAATCATAAGTACATATTTATGTTACCATTGATTGATTAAACTCCGAATTGTTTATCTTCTGATCCACTTCCTGAACTTTTTTAAAATTTAGTTTATAATAATTCTCTTTATTTTTAATAATTTAAAGACTTTGTAACTTTTTTATTTTTTCGCTTCTTGATCTTTGGCTTTCGCAGAAACAATTAATTTGTAACGACGAAAAATACAACTCTGTAACACAGTGACAGTCATTTGATCGGTCATTTGGCTGTCATTGTTGATCAAAATATAAATTTTAATACATTTTAATCTAAATGTAGTTGTTTCATTCTTTCATATGCAAATTCAACCCTATACCACACATTGTGTCCAGTAACGGTCATTTTACCGGTCATTTGACTGTCATTGTTGATGGAATCATCCATTAAATTTTTTTTTCGACAATTCTATAAAAAAAATGTTGCGTGTGTGTCAGTAAAATCATTTTGTATGTGTTAGTTTCGGTCATTCATTTCTTATAGGGTACCTTTTTAATTAAGTTTTTCTTTTTAAAATAAATCTAAAAAATCAACTATACATTAACCTAAACAAAATGAATACCAAAAAAATATGTAGATGTTGCATGGTAATGGATGTGCCACTTTTGTCTATATACGATAGTGGTTCGGATGGAATGGGTTGTGTTGCAGACATGCTTAAACAAATAGCTAAATTAAAGGTAATTAAAGTTAAACTGCCTTTCCACTACTATCGGTTCTTCGTCCCGGAATGACTCGATGTTCAATGAACAGTGATCAAGGATTATTAACTCAGCAACAACAACATCAAAGATATATTTTTAAGAAAGTGTGGTCGGGCATAACCGACTCTAGGATAATGTACTGCAACTTTATGTACATATCCACAACAGTTGTTTTCGTTCCGTGGCAATCGGAATGCTTTAGCCTGGGTAGCATAACATATTTTACGACAAAAACCTGTTAACTGTGTAAATTACCATGGTACATGGACGTTCGAATGATCCATGAAAGTGACTTACACGACCCAAAAACTAGTTCTCATTCAAAAGTTGTATGTAGGATTGTAAATTAAAAACCTCAGCTAAAACCGTACTTATTCATATAATTACAAAAGAAATGTATACATTAATTTAAAAGTCTCCTCTATTTACAGCCTCAATCCGCTGACAAAATGCCAGACAAAGCCTGTCTACAATGCATAAGTGAAATCAATCGATGTTATGTCTTCAAAATGAAATGTGAAAATGCAAATAGAACGCTTAGGCAAATATTTCCAGATGCAGTACCTGAACCATTAGATTGTGTGCCAAAGAAAGTTGAGGTAGTCTCATCCGCAATGCAGACAGAAAATAAAATACTTATATCATCTATGGTACAAACAATAGCGGAAGAGAAACCCCTTTTAGCCCATAGTAGTGCACAAACTATTAATGTAGAACAACCCTCCTTAACACACAGCAGCGTACAGACAATTATAGAAGGCAAGCCACTTGTATATCATAAGGAAATACAAACTGAATATGAGATTATACCGACTGACAATTCCCTACCCGAGAGCATTATTATATATGAAGAAATTGATAATAGCAATACAAACACGAAAAAGAGATTACCCACATCGCCTCTAAATAAGCAGGTTTCCAAGAAAACTTGCCTGGAAACAAGAAAAGTCAATAATTTACAAACTCTAACGGAAACAGAAACTAATGTTCAATCATCAAATACCTATATATTATACGAAGATTCTCAGGCAGATTCAAATTGTTCGGAAGTAGAAGAACTTTACATACCTAGCTCAGAACAAACACAAAAAGAAGGAGAATGTAATCGCTTTGAATACTATGAAAACGAGATAGAAGATACACAAGACGAACAAGGCGATAGCCAATTGTATCAAGATAATATTCTGGTCTATAATGAAAATTTTAAAAGTAATAGTGAATATGAAATTGATATTTCACAAACCATCGAAAAATCTCCACAACAATCTGAGGAATACTTAAAATCTCAGAAATCAACTAAAGCATCCTACAAATCAAAGGGTCAATACAAATGTTCGCAATGTATAATGACATTTGTTAGTATAAAGGTATTAAAACGGCATTTAGCTAATCGTCACGATATTAAAGATGCTGAACTTATAATAGATTATTTGCCGACCACTGAAACAGATGAAACATCACAGGATGTTGAACAGCCTTCGTCTTCTGATAATGTCACCAAATCTAATATTTCCAACATTGAATTAACAGCTGAGAATGTTCCAAAACCCCAGTTATTGCCTAGAGAAAAAGTAACATCTTCGGTAAATGAGGAATTACTAACAAATATGAAGTATTTTTGTGATTATTGTCAAGCTGGATTTGCTCAACGTAAAACTTTGACCTCTCATATAAAAAATCAAATCTGTATGACGAGTAATTTTAAGGTAAGTTTAAAACGTTATTAACTATTTATTATTTTCAATTTTGTTCTCAATAGATAATGTACAGAAATTATGTTTTCTTGAAAAAAAAAAAAAGAAATCAAAAAACTTATTGAATTTAAAAACTTATTAGTTAAGTTCTTCTAAAGTAACTAATACAAAATGTTTACAAAAATGGTTCAAATTAAGCCCTGTAGTTAGTAATTACTTTAAATTGTTATTTTTTTATAAAAATAAGATTTCATAAATTTTTTCATATTATTTTTAGTGCAATAAATGTGAGCGCATCTTCATTTCTGAGGAAAATTTGGAAACTCATAAACTTACACATGAAAATCCACACAAATGTTTAGAATGTGATACTGTATTCAAAACTATAGAGGAACTTAGTGAACATATGATTGAAAATCATAATAGAAATGCTCGTAATCAATGTCATGTTTGCAAAAAAGGTAAATTTAAATAGTTAATATCAGAATAAATCTATATTCTATATATATCCAAATTTGTATTATAGTTTTTACCATGAAAACATCTTTAATGGATCACCTGCGCATACATAGTGGCGAAAAACCATTTCTCTGTACAATATGTGGCAAAAGTTTTAATCAGAATTCAAATCTACGGCAGCATTTAACACGTCATAATAATGAGAAAAACTTCAAATGCGATATGTGTCCAAATGCCTATGTCACGAAAGCAGAACTATTTTCCCATAAACGCACACATACGGGCGATCAACCTTTTAAATGTGATATTTGTGAGGCACGCTTCACCTCAAACTGTTCATTGAAGAAACACGTACGTAAACATACAGGTGAAAGACCTTATGCATGTGAATTTTGTCCCATGCGTTTTGCTGCTCTAAATGTTTTGAAAAATCACCGACGTATTCATACGGGAGAAAAGCCTTTTAAATGCAACTATTGTTCAAAATCCTTTGCGCAGAAAGGAGATTGTCAAATACACCAAAAAACACATGTGAATAATGATTTCAAATGTGTTTGTGAATCGAAATTTTCGAAAAAATCCAATTTTAGACATCACCTTAAAACCCAACATCCTGATTTTAGCGAAAAACAAGTACAAGCTTTACTAGATAAATCTAATATGGTCAACGATAATGAAGAAGAATATCAAATAACATTAATCGATGACTCTAGTGAGAAATTTATTAATAGTCCTTCTCAGACTGATGACATTGAAAATGATGGGCAATCGTCGTTTGTAACGATTTCTCATGTTACTAAAAATGTTACAAAAACAGCTGCCAGCAGTGCTTCCAATGATAATGAAGATTTTATGGAAATTGATATGGAGGAGATGTAAGTTAAATAGAGACACTAATGGTAGTAAAAATATTTGAAATATTTTTCTAAATTCTTATATTTTAAGGTAATGTAATAAGAAAATGAAGCAATTAAATTAATTCAAAATCAAGATACATATCTCAAGATCAAGCAAGATACACATTAACACAAGAGTTTTAAATGGTAAGTGAATTTATTTTGTTTTCATTATTATTATTATCATTATTATTTTAAACGACAATCAAGTTTTCTTCTCAATAACTCATAGGCTAAAATTCCAAAAAATGTGCGCTAATGGTGCACTGATAAAATTTCTGAAAATGTTCTATCAAAACATTTAAAAATGGAGAAATTTTCCAACAAAATTTTGTAAAACATTTTTTTTTTTTTTATAAAATATAAATTTTTGAAATTTTTCTATTTCTATAAAATAGAAATTTCAAAAAAAAAAAAAAATGTAGAAAAAATTTTCTATCGAAATTGCAAATATTACAAAATTGTCCCGTAAATTCCAATCTCAAATCGAACGCATTCTCAAGTTTTAAAAGAAAAATCATTTTTAGAGTTTTTTAAAAGATTTCTTTATTTCTTCACTTCCATCTATCTTCTTTCCACTTAAAACTATTAAAAAAATGTAATAGGCTGCATTTTGAAGTATTTTTTTGTTTGTTTTCTTAGAAACTTAAACCACAAACTGTATTTCTGTTCTCTTAACTTTACACGAAATAAAAAAAAACGCAACATAACTAATAGTACTGGCCAAATTGTTGTTGTTGTACTTGAGGACCAATTGGTTGGTGTATATATTGTACGGTTTGTTGAGGATGATTCATAATCACCTGAGGCTGCGGAGGCAGTTGATGCATACTCATCTGCGGCTGCGGCGGTAACATTTGTTGTTGCAGTTGTGTGGAAGTTGAAGCAATAGGTTGTTGTTGTTGCAATTGTGTTAAAGGTTGATGTTGTTGTATAACAGTTTGTGCTGGTATATGAAGGGTGGTGGGATTTGTTGTTGATGGTTGAAGTTGTTGCTGTTGTGGCTGATGTAGCTGTTGTTGCAGAGGAGAATGTGAATGTGGTAGATGCATAGCGGCCATTTGTTGAGGCTGAGGTTGTTGTAACACTTGTTGATTAGTGGCTAGTGCTTGATTAGTAGTGGCAATAACCGTACTATTACTGGGCCCAGCTGTTATGGCGGGAACGCTTCCAGTGGCAGGTGGCGGTCCCTTTAGCCAATCGATTAAGGAATGATGTATACTCTGTACACATTTCAATTGATCTGCTATAAGATTTTCAGAATATTTGACATGATTGGCATAGGCTTCTTTTTCGTGTAGGGCATCCTTTGACATACGATGTAAATCTTTAAGTATGGCCGAACCCCAGAGCTGAACATGAATATCGGGTATTTTCGAAGCTAATTGCATAGCTGGTGTCACCATATTCATACTCTCCTTCGAGTTGCCTATGCTAAGGAAGACATGAGACAAGAGAACCAATGAACAAGATGTTAAACGGTTTAAATCCTCGGCATTGGCCATTTTTAAAGTTTCACGCAGAAAACGCCTGCAATTTGAATTAAAAGAAATTAGTTAAATGTTTTAGATGTTGTTTCCAAAATCTACTTACTTGGCTTCATGAAAACTTGCCTTGTGAAAGGCATGAAGACCTTGAACATAATAGAATCCACCCATTAATGCTTGAGAACTATACGTGTGAGTATTTTCTGTAGCGACGGCATCCAATATTTGCTTTAAATCCTGATCCCTTTTTGTTCTTAAGTATATTATAGCCAAATTTAAATTAGCAAATAATTTCAAATCTCTTTCACTTGTCTCGGCTACACAAGTTAAAAATTGCCTTTCGGCATGTTCGAAGAAACTAGTGGACATGGCATACAAACCCACTAAACAGTGCAGCTGAGCTGAATGACGTTTAAGTAATTGACCATTTGGACCGGAGGCCAAACATACATCACGACAGGCAGCTATTTCTCGTATGGCCAGTTCGCGATTTCCCATAACCATGCGGCACATAACAATGTGTTCCAGTAGTATGACCTTGAAAACGGACAATATGGGTTTGTCATCTTGTGCTTTTAGCTTTTCAATTTGTGTTAAAGCCTTTTCGGTATATTTTTGTGCTTTATCCATGTAGCCAGCCATCATGGAATGTGATACCGTTACCAAGTAGACTAAAACATACAGCTGCTCTTTTGGTAGCCAACCAAACATATCCAAAGGATTTTGTCCAAATATTACTACAAAAAAGGAAGTACCTATTATATACAATTCTATTAATGGAGGCATTTCCCTCTACTCACCCTCATCGGCCGGCCAATTAGGCGCCATAATTGTTTGTATAGACATTTGTAATTGCTTCAAACTTGGTTTCACCGTTTTCACCTGACCCAAAGCCAGATAGTAACACACTTGTAGCACCAAGAAAAACACCTTCAAGTACTCCTTATGGTGAGGATTTGTTATGTGATTATCTATTATAGCACCAGCGGAATTGAGTAAAGCCAATACGTCATTAGTTTTCCTCTCTATCATCAAGATCATGGCTCTTGATAGCAAGAATAAAACTTTCAAATACGTGGCACTGGCTTCATCAGCCGATTCAGCACCCACCGCCAATAGTTCCGAGGCCAAAGTATATTCCTTATCATTGGCATGCAGTTGTGCCAACTGCAATAATAGTTTACAATGCCAGTAAACATTATTCTGCGACAGCTCAATGGCCTTCCGCAACATGGCCTTGGCCAAAGAACTCTGTTCCGTTTGTCTATACAATTCTGACAGCAGAGAGGCAGTATCAAATTTAACATCATCAAAATTCATTAACGGTTCTGATAATTTCCAGGCCGTCTCTAAATGCGTTCGCGCCAGATCAGTGTTATAGGTGTAAGCCATTAACATTTGTCCCATTTGCAGATGTGTTCTGGCCTCAACTTTGGAAGGTGGATGAAACGTAAACAATGCTTGTAGACATTGTATACATTTTTTAATGTTTGGTGGTTGTGAGGTACGAAAATATTCGGCCAAGCCTAAGAGCGAGATATAGCAAGCATCCTGGGAAGTTGTTGGAGTTTGGGCAGTTGCCGGTTGCAAACTCATTGTTTTTGTCCGTTTTGTATTCTCCTCGCTAACGTTTAATAATTTTCCTGGTAAATTGCACAAAAATTGTATATTTTTCCATAAAAAAAACCCGTCCGCCTTGTTTACTTTCGCTAAATGTCAAAATGGTTAGCGAGAGTTGCCAGTATGTTGATATTTGTATAAGTGTGGCTACCTCACGCTAGATGGCGATGTTTGCCAAAGAGTTGTATTTGATTAAGACGTAAGAATGACACAATACTGCCAGATGTGTGTAGTTTTAATAGAGATTTTTAATGTTTTGTTATCAATATCGATTTAAACAGTTGTAATTCAGGTCTGAGTTGGGGAACAACTCTCGCGTCATCGTTTTTATTTCTTAAGGACGGTCAGGCTTGTGCTTGTTGCTGGGCTTTCGACAGAATTACTTCTCACCCCGCACTAATTTAATGTACTACTTCGTATAACTGTTCTAAGTTATGCGTTGTCTTCATTAAACGCGTGCTTTCGTTTTACCTCAGAGTGAGGTTATGTATTTAACTGGTGGAGACCATAAAATACTCACGATATAACCTGGTGGAGACCATTTAAACTCAAATATTTACTGGTGGAGACCATTAAAACTCTAAAACTTTTTTCTGGTGGAGACCATTAATACTTTTGATGAAATTAAGTCCGGATGCTCCAACTTCCTATATGAAGGTATAGGTCGGTTGGTGGGGTTTTCTCTGGACAAACGTGTGATAACCTGGCAATATGAGTGCTTAATGTACCGCCATCCTAATTAAAACCCGAAAAAAAAAAAAAAAATATCGATTTAAACAGAAATGTATAGGCTCTCTTTAGAATAGATCATAGACAGGACTATTGACTGGACTAAAATCAATACTATAGACTAGATTTTAGAATATACTATACTTTAAACTAGACTAGGTTTTATACTAAACTTTTGATTAGACTATAGATTATACTATAAATCAGATTAAACTATAGGTTGTACTATGTTACAGATTAGACTATAGACTAGCCTATAGATTATAATATAGATCATACTGTATATTAGACTATAAGCTAGACTGTAGACTATACTTTAGACTAGACTATAGACAAGACTATAAATTAGATTATAAATTACACTATAGACTATACTATAAACGAGATTATAGACTCGGCTATAGACTAGACTATAGAATACGCTATAATTATACTATTATAGTCTAGACTATAATATAGACTAGAATATGGACCAGACTAGACTATTGACTAGATTATATACAAAACTATATTTTTTGTAAAATATAACCTTTTGGAACAAGTAAAATTTAGTTTTTTATTATTTATTTAAATTTATTTTTCTTACACAAACAAATAAATTATTAAATTATATAAATATGTATTAAGCAATTAAATTCTTTACACAAATATGCAACACTTAAATTAAGAAAAAGAGTAAAAACAAAATCACTTCAAATAAAATTAATACAATTATTTCCCTTTATTACACTTTCGGGAGTTCACTCAAATAATTTCAATTCCCTAGCAATTTTCTTAATTTTATTATCTAAGGTCTTGTCTTCATGTTCACATATATAATGATGTCTCGTAGTACATTCTTGTCCATAATAATTGTAACTATGTTTTGCAGAATTATAAGACAATCTCAGACATCTACCTTGACCTTCGATTTCAACGGTATTATTTAAAATATCCGTGTTATCAGATTTTTTCTTGTCATCCTTTTCATCCACATCAATGGTATTCGATTCGGTTTCTTTGTCATGTTTTTCTTTGTGAGACATTGCAATGGAGGTTAAATTCATATTGGGATTAACTGGTTTAGCAGAGTTGGACCAGATCCACAAAAGACCAGGATTTAAACCACCCAACCAATAATCGCGACCACGATGATTTGGTTGATTTAATAAATAGGCCATGATTTCTTCATTTTCAGAAGGTTTTTCAAATTCAGCCAAATGGGAATTTAAAGCTTTACAAGCGGAATTAGCAGTTTTCCAATTGACCGCCTGATAACTGTTAATATAATAACAATTATCGCTGATACGGGTAAAGTTTGTAGGACAGGGATCACGTACTGAAAGTAGAAAACCAATGTTACTCGTCCTATAAACAAATTTATTTATACACACCTTCAGTTTGTTGTTTATTACCAGCCATTAGATAATAAATCAATTGTTCTGTTCTTCTCACTCGACTCTCCAAATAGTCTACACGATAGACTAATTTCTCTATGGCACCCAATAGATATAAATCATTTTCCGATACTGCTCTAAATGTTTGAGGTCCATTATGTACTACATGTTGTTGTTGCGGTGGCAACTGTTGTTGCTGCAACGGTAATGGTCTTATATGTTGTGGTATTTGTGATCCTCCCGGTGAAGTGGGTATATTTGATGTTGGTCTTGTAATACCTGTTTCCGATCCACCTAAACCAAATAATTGTTGCAATAGACCAGGTTGTTGATGTTGTGACATTTGATTTGTCATTGGACGAAATTGTGGATTAACCACTTGTTGTGGTGGTCTTTTATGTGGTTCCAATTCTACACCCACTTCTCCAATACGTTTATTTATATAAATAGCTGGTCTTTTGTAGGCTGATGAATGATAGTTAATGGGTGGTTGAGGATTTGAGGGATTGGGTCCCATTCCTGGATTTATCATCATTTGATAGGGTGGACCACCACCAGGACCAGACATTTCACTATAGTAGGGTAGATCTTTGGAAGTGCGGCTACTAGGACTTTGGCTAAAATGTTATTTGGAAAATGTTAAAAAAAAATTTGGTGTTTAGTAAAATTTCAGACATTTTTTTATCAGAACATTTTCAGTTTCCATTTAACCATTTAGAATATTGTCTAGTCTAATGACTATTCTATGGACTAATCTATTGACTATTTTTTGGACTAATCTATTGAATATACTATGTACTAATATATTGACTAATTTATAAAATAGTCTACAGTCTAATATATTCACCATACTATTAACTCTTATATTGCCTAGTCTATGGATTAACCAACAGAGACTATTATGAACCGATTCACATAAAATTTAGTAGAGAGATTTTGGCTCGTAAGAAACTTACTTAGTCAAATTTCATCGTTGTACTAGTATTTTTAAGCCAGTAATGAGCGTTAAAGTTATTTTCTGAAGAGGACTTTATATGGGGGTAGGGTCAATTATGGACCGATCCACATACAATTTGGTAGAGAGGTTTTGTCTTGAAAGTGACTTACTTATGTCAAATTCCATCACTTTACTCGTATTTTAAAACCTGTAATGAGCGTTAAAGTCATTTTCTTAAGGGGACCTTATATAGGGGATATGGTCAATTATGGACCGATCCGCATAAAATATGGTAGAGAGATTTTTGCACTTATGTCATATTTCATCGCTATACTCGTATTTTTAAGCCAGTAATGAGCGTTAAAGTCATTCTCTAACGGGGACCTTTTATAGGGGAGGTAGGGTCAATTATGAACCGATTCACATAAAATTTGGTAGAGAGATTTTGGCTCATATGAAACTTATTTATGTTAAATTTTATATATACTAACACTTTTAAAACATATATGCCCGTTAAGGCTGTTTTTATGGGGTCCACTTCTATTGGGCTATCCGGAAACGTGGACCGATATTGCCCATTTTCAATACCAAACAAACTTTACCTATAGAGAATATTTATGGAAAATTTCAACCCTCTAGCTCTTTCCGTTCGGACTCTATCGTGTTTTCAACAGACATATAGACGGACGGACATGGCTAGATCGCCATAGAATTTAATAAGAACCCAGCATATATATACTTTTGTGGGTCTATGATCCATATTTTTTGATGGTGGGTATAAAAATGAATTATGCCAATGATGAGTTATTTGTAACTCTGGTATCAAGAACTATATTTTGGTACTTTTTCGATCTATAATTGGTACTTTTTGAATTTTCTATAATCTTGAACCTAGAATTAAAAAAAGGGTGCTTTTTGGTAATTTTTCCTCCTTCAAAAGGTACTTTTTGAATTTTCTATAATCTTAAACTTAGAAACATAAAATTAAGCATGTAGAGCCTGGAGTAAATGAGAATCTATAATATGGGACTTTTTCGTTCGTCAGAAGGTACTTTTTGAATAATTTTGTATTTAAAAACATAAAATTAAGCATGTAGAGTCCGAAGTAAATGAAATCCTAGGAAATGGGACTTTTTGGAGCTTTTTCGTTCTTCAAAAGGTACTTTTTCAACTTTTTATAACCTTGAATGTAGAGCCTGAAGTAAATGAGAACCTATGGTACTTTTTCGTTCTTTAACTGATACTTTTTGAACCTAGAAAACATGAAATTAAGCATGTTGAGCCCAGTGTAAATGACAAACCTATACTAAGGGACTTTTTGCTACTTTTTTGTTCTTTAAAAGGTATTTTTTGGATTTTTATATTCAGGAACCTAGAAACATAACATTAAGCATGTAGAGAGTGTAAAGAGTAAATGAGAACCTATAAAATGAAACTTTTTGGTACTTTTTTTGAGTATTCTATTATATTGAACCTAAAAGAGGCAAAATAAAACATGCAGCATTGAATTCAAATTTATAAAAGAGGATTTTCGGATACTTTTTCGTTATTCAAAAGATATTTTTTTGATTTTCTGAAATTTTGAAACCAGAATCATACATATAGGATTCTGAGGGAATGAATTTATAAGAGTAAACTTTTTTATTGTTGTTGTTGGTACTTTTTCGTTCTTCTTTAAATTGTACTTTTTGAATCTTTTTTTAATATTAAGCCCATAGCGTCCTAATTGAATGAAAATCTATAAAAGGGGACTTTCTGAAATTAATTTTGAAATTTTTGAATTTTTTGTATAATAATAAAGGGTATATAAGATTTGGTACAGCCGACTATAGAATTCTTACATGTTTTGTGAACAAATTGTTAAAATATTTCGGAAATAAGAAAAATATACTACCTAGTGGTGTAGGCTATCATATGGTCGATTATGACCGACTATACATTCTTACTTGTTAATAATAATTATTATTTTGTTTTGAGTTTTGATTATACCTTATAACATAATCCTCTAGAAATTCCGACCACACCATACCAGTTGAATCTTCAAATAATTCGCGTGCCTCCAATAATGATTCATTCCCATATTTATTAGTAGTCTGTACAATATTCGTCGTAGCCGTTGTTGTTGTTGCTTTTATATTTGACGATAATTTAATTTCACTATCGTTTTCAACATTTACATTATTACATAATGTTAAATTAAATATGTTTATAAGTAAAAACACACAAAAACACGACGACACCATTATATTATTTTTATGATAATTATGATGATGATGATTATTATTATTATGGCGTTGTTGTTTGATTGACATTGTTTGTAGAGGGCTTAAGAAAGGTTTAATTTTTCGCTTAATTTTCAATACTTTCATTTTCATTTGCACATAAAACTTTTAAGAATACGCATTTAAAAAAAATTCAAATAAATACTTCTCGAAATAAACTAATTTAAATAATTAACACTTTGATTCGAATGATAAAGAAATTTTCATTACCAGAGCAATAAAATTAATATATTTAATTAGTGTTTTTTCTTAAAAATTTGTTATTTCAAGTCGTTATTTTAAAATGTTTTAATAATTTTTGCAGTATTACGTTTACAAAATTATCAATTTTATTAAATTATTTATCTTTTTTCTTTAATTATTTTGTGCGTTTTGTTTTTCTATTCGAAATATATAATCCGTTTGTTTATTTTGCTTCGTATATTATGATGTGTATTGTTTATTTCTTCACTGTTTCAAGTCAACTGCACGCATGCGCATTAATTTTAAGTTAACAGAGCAGTGATTGGTGTGTTGTGTGGTGTTTCTTAACTTTTAAAATTTACTTTAACCGACCGGTGTTGATGCGAAAACTTTGAAACTTTCTCCAGTTGAGTTTTTTTTTTTTGTTTTTATTTTAAAACATGCACATTGTGTTATTATTATTGAATGTTGTTGATGTTGTCGTTAATGTTGTTGTTGTTGTTGTTATCTGTTATATCCATAAGATATCTGTTTTTATTTATTTGTTTAAAAGCCCTTTTATCGTATCACTATTAACACACCTATTTTACTATATTTTCCTAAAAAGGTTTTGCATCTCTTGTTAGTTAAGTTTAACTTTTAATGATTAATTATTTATAAATATTTAAAAAAGACCCTGAATCTTTATTTACTTTGCAATTATTCCATCATCAACCCACAATATTTAAATATTCACTATTTTTTTCAATATTTATTTAAAATTTTATTAAAAATTCATATTTAAGTGTAAATTTTTGAAGTATATTTTATTTTTATTGGCCTGTCTCTTTTACACCCAGTAAACATTTCTCTATATAAGAATTATGTACCTATACTACCCAGCAAAAAAAGAACTTCCAAAGAAGCGAACAAGAAGTAGAATTTACTCTATGGAAGTATTGGAAAAGACCTGCAGAAGTAATGACTGTAACACAGGCTTGTCGTAAAAAGGATGTCCTTTTTATTTGATTCCAAATTCACTACTTCCGAAATTATTCTTAAGAAATAATTCACTTAGTGCTTCTTTTGAAGTGGTGATAAATGTTATTCTTTTGGAAGTACTTCGTTTTATTTTTGCTGGTTAGTGGTGATTTGCCCATGTTTCTCCTAAATATTTCTATGAATAACAAGGTCTCTCATAAAAAATTGGAGCAGTTATAGATTCCCAAATACATGCATTTTTGTTTTTAATTTATATGATAGGCACCACGCCCACTATTTCTAGTGTTGCCATTTTTACAAAATATTTATATAGATGTAAAAGTTACCCTAGCAAAGTTTAAGGTCTCTAGCTGTAGCAGTTTTTATACTCTACACTACTTTAGTGGGGAGGGTATATTGGGTTTGTGCTAATGTTTGCAACGCACAATAATATTGGTGCTATACGCAACTGAAAGTATACCAATCGGCTTAGAATCATTTTCTGAGTCGATTTACCTATATCCGTCCGTCTGTCCATAAATACATGATCTTCTATTGTCCCACAGACGAAGCCTATTGAAAATAGTTAAGATCGGTCTATTATATCACCTAGCCCCCATACAACTGAACCCCCGAATAAGGCTTATAAACATATAAGGCCTCATTTGACCCTAGCCCCTATACAAAGCCCCCTTTAAAATATGACTTAAATGTCCACAATTTTATTCAACAATAAATAGCTTAAGTATATCTGAGGCAAGGTACAATTCCACTTAAATGCTTTATTATGAAAACTAAATCACATTTTATTTTTATAAATGGTGTAGCGACGGCCACGCCCATCTAAGTATATTTACATTTAATACTTTGTATATGGGCGTGGTAACTTGCCCTTAATTAATCTTTATATTTAAAAATCGATCCCATCGACGACTAAAAGGATCTTTGTGCTATATTAACCAACCAGCCTTTCTTATTGTTAGCCCCTTCCTTAGTTAATCGGTTCCATTTTAGTCTGCGAATCATTTACAAAAATATATTTTCAACATCTTACAAAAAAGTTATAGATCTGCCAGGAAAACATTCTAAAAAAAAAAAAAACGAAATCTATGTTTCGAATAACGTAGGATCATGATACCTCTTGGTAACATCTTATGCTAATGTTAACACTATTATTGCCTCTAATTGATCATCACCTCGAATCAGTCTATACTCTAGATGCAATGGTTAACGCTTTAGGCTCCATCTTTCTTTGGAACCATACGATCTACTCAGACGGCTTCAAAACTGTTACTAGTGCTGGCTTGTAAATTTCCGTCTTTATCATCATTTCCATTAGATGAACTAATATCTGCAAAGAGTCCGCGATAGAAAAAAATGGTCTTCTCAGTTGCATTCATTCCTTCTCCTAACCCAGAGGACATTTAGTTAATTATATTGCAATGAAAGAACAATTGAAGAATCGTCCTTGAAACGGAACTCTGATTACCACTTGCATTTGGCGCAGGCTTTCATAGAAGTGAACTACGGTGTAGGTACTTGACTCTTGATATAAAATCGTTAAGATTTCCAATGACAAAAAATTGTTGATTCGATTCTTCTATATGTTTACCTCACTGTACAAGAATGCATAGGCTATGATATCTCAGTCCAAACATCTGGTTTGTACCAGGAATGTGACGCTGGCGAATAAAATACAATTAATCTTATCATAAATCCATATCTCTACCAAAGTCCAATGAAACTAATCATAAACCTATATTCGGACTAATCCGAGACAAACCAAAACAATTATTGATATACGATCAATTTCGGAATGGTCTTTATCCAAATGTGCATAACACACTAATTTTACTTTCAAAGTCAAGTTTAACCAAAAGCTTCAATTGAATTATCCGTCATAGTGAAGACAATTAGAGCAGTATATTGAATTTCGAAACCATGTACTTTCAATTCTGATTAAAACATATTGGTTCGCTTATTTCTTAATACTAAATTATAATACTACATTTACATTTTTATATTACTGCTTATTGGGTTATTTTTTTATATACATACTTACTCTTTTATTTAAGCCACATACAATACGGTTAACATATTTTTAAGTTTCATTGAAAACTATTATGACGCATTCGTACGTTATTGTGCGTTATAGGGATTTCCCAATAAATAATCAACAAATCTTTAAACGATTTTAATAACTCAATACTATACTTGGAAATTGGTAAAATAAAACGACTACAAAATACATATGTTTACAAAAAATATACGTATATTAAGTGACCTTTTTAACTAGCCATATGTTTAATATAAGATGACTGTGTTCCATTACTTTTTTTTGGCATTTTTAAGATGTTGAAATAATAAGAAGAGATAGAAAATAATGTCTCTCACATTTTTTGAAATCCAATCATTTGCTTTCTTTTTTGTGGTATTATCCTTGAATTGAACGAATTCGGTATTTTACACTTTAACTTTCGAACTTATTTCCGATAAAAGGTCGGATGTTGTTAAGGAGTCTTATAAACTTGACATTACGCTGGACTATCCTTTAAGCGTTTAGTAAACTTACAACATTGTAAAAAGTTTAAGAAAGAGATTAAAAGATGTTAAAATTCTTGAGCTTTTGAATACCAAGGAATTCTTGAGACTATAATACATTGGAAGTAAGATCCGAAGTTATTTTAAACTAGGATATGAAGCAATTGTTTTTTACACTAGGCTATAGACCAGACTATAGACTAGACTATAGCCTAGACTATAGCCTAGACTATAGACTAGACTATAGACTAGACTATAGACTAGACTATAGACTAGACTGTAGACTAGACTATAGACTAGACTATAGACTAGACTATAGACTAGACTATAGACTAGACTATAGACTAGACTATAGACTAGACTATAGACTAGACTATAGTCTAGACTATAGACTAGACTATAGACTAGACTATAGACTAGACCATAGACTAGACTATAGACTAGACTATAGACTAGACTATAGACTAGACTATAGACTAGACTATAGACTAGACTATAAACTAGACCATAGACTAGACTATAGACTAGACTATAGACTAGACTACACTATATACTATAGTCATGACTATAGACTATACTATAGACTAGACTATAGACTAGACTATAGACTAGACTATAGACTAGACTATAGACTATACACTAGACTTCTATCGGAAGCTTTCATTTCTCTTATAGAAGTGGAAGCTTCTATCGGAAGCTTTGTTTTCTAGAATTTTTATTTAAGAGCAACACATTTCGTTTATGATATTTTCACTTCGCAATTTTCACAGTTTGAAAAGTCAGTCTGCCACCCCGGAGGTTGTGGGTTCAATTTACCCCCAAGGCACTGTTTAAGGACGCACAACAGGCCCGATAAAGACCAAAGTGTATATTTTCGAATTTGATACACCCTACTTTCAAACTAACTCTCAATAAAATAATATGCATCGCTTTTAATGAAACCCTCGATAGTATTAGTACAATGACAGAATTTGGGCTTTGTCTGATGTTTTGTTACCCGAAAGCAATACATAACTAGATATGTACTTTGATTCTAGCTTTTCTTGGAACATATGTATATATATATAAGTTGAGGAGTGGGCATTACAACAGTTTTAATCGAATAATTTTACTTAAGGTTTGGATTTCACAAACCCCACTTTCAAACTGAAACTGATCCTGCTGCTTATATTCAAGAAAACTACATATACTCTACCTGATACTACTTTAAATCTTCTTAGACTATAGTTATCTTCATTTATTTAGATGTTTTAATGGTTAATACATATAATTCGTTTCAATATAGGATTTTATTAAACAAATTTTTAAAACGCTCTCTCAATATTATTGATCTTGCAAAACTCTCTTTCGACTACTTTTGATGACATATTTGACAGCTCTATCTCTCTCTCGTGGTTATTCTCTTAAACCCTCATAGTAGTATACACAAAAATATAAATTATTATATTTTATAATTTTTTTACTATTATTTTAAATAATTTATAATTATTTTTTTTTTTTCGTTTGAAAATAAATAGCATTATGGTGTTTTTGTTGTTTTTTTTGGTATTTTTTAATTAAAAAAGATGAAATTAAAATTAAAAATTGTATTAAATTATGTACGAGTATAAATTATGAATTTTCTTTTTCAAAAAAAGTTTATTATCGATATTTGGCATTTTCAATTCACATTAAAAAAACGTTTGCAGAAACACACATGATATTTTGAGTGCGTTCACACTACACACAGATACTTAAGACTGCTGCCGGAAAAATTAATTCGGGATTTCTCCTCAGAAAAAATCTTTTGGAGCAGTTATATCGTATTTTGTTCAGGATCATGTGTGCGTGTGTGTAGTACTAATCTGCTTGCTGGGAGCATCATGCAGTGTGATGGTGGTAACTTATGAAGATGATGGTGTTGTTGTTTAAATTTTGATTTTTTTAAGTTTTTTGTTTTTGTTTTTTTTATTTTTTTTTACAAGATGATGGAAAACATATTCAAATTATAAAGAGACCAACAATTTAATAACCAGCCAATTCGGCGAATGTGGAGTCCATTTCGTCGGCCAAAGACTTGTATCTGTCCTTGTTGATGCCCAATTCGTCTATAAAAATGGTAGAAAAAAAAAAAGATAAATTAATAATTTGCGGGGTTTTTAAGATAAAGACAAAAAACATTTAAAAAATTTTTGTGTAGTGGTGCTTTAACAAATATTTTGTTTTAATTTCTTTTTTTTTTCTTTGTTTGGTTAGTGAAATTATATAAATATATTGTGCAGAAAAAAAATTCTTTCAGTGCATACAAAAAATAGTAGACAAACACTTAAAGAAACATTTACCATGAAAAGAATGTGTCCCATACATTTTTCAATACAAAATTTCCTAAAAGAAATCATAAGTTTTGTTTTTGGTTTCTTTAAAGGGGGGGAAAATGGTGGGTGGAGGAGAATATATATATTTTTTAGAAATATTTTAACAATTAGAGGGTTTAAGGTTACACATATAAGTGTGTTTTTTTTTTTTGGTATTGTATAAGTTTGTTTCTGGAATATACAGCGCTTTTAAGTAGTGGACCTATATTATTGATCCAGTGTCTCTAAGACAAGTTTTTGATTTACCACTAACTGTCAAAAGAGTTAAAACTTCTATTTGCTTCTTCATTGTTAAGTAATGACAGTTAGATGATACTATCTTTGTAGTAAATCAATATGAAAATTTTCAATTTAAATATTTATTTCAAATAGAGAGGATATTCTTAAAAAATCTAGTATTCAATTCAAAATTTAGGTTCCATAAACCTGAAGAATCGATCTTTTGTTGCAAAAAGTTTAAAAGTCGGACTGTGGACCAGTTCAAAGTTTTGACTATAGAAAAGTCTTGATTATAGAAGTCTACTGTCTTGGATAAAGATTAGTCTATATAGTCTTGACTATAGATCATTCTATAGTCTTGACTATAGATCATTCTGTAGTCTTGACTATAGATCAGTCTATAGTCTGGACTATAGATCAGTCCATAGTCTTGACTATAGACCAGTCTATATTCTTGACTATAGATCAGTATATAGTCTGGACTATAGATCAGTATATAGTTTAGACTATAGATAACTCTATAGTCTGGACTATAGATCAGTATATAGTCTTGACTATAGATCAGTCTATAGTCTTGACTATAGATCAGTCTATAGTCTGGACTATAGATCAGTCTATAGTCTGGACTATAGATCAGTCTATAGTCTGGACTATAGGTCAGTATATAGTCTGGACTATAGATCAGTATATAGTCTGGACTATAGATCAGTATATAGTCTGGACTATAGATCTGTATATAGTCTGCACTATAGATTAGTCTATAGTCTGGACTATAAATCAGTATATAGTTTTGACTATAGATCAGTCTATAGTCTGGACTAAAGGTCAGTCCATAGTCTTGACTATAGATCAGTCTATAGTCTTGACTATAGATCAGTCTATAGTCTTGACTATAGATCAGTCTATAGTCTTGACTATAGATCAGTCTATAGTCTTGACAATAGATCAGTCTATAGTCTTGACTATAAATCGGTCTATAGTCTTGACTATAGATCAGTCTAGTCTTGACTATAGATCAGTCTATAGTCTTGACTATAGATCAGTCTATAGTCTTGACTACAGATCAGTCTATAGTCTTGACTATATATCAGTCTATAGTCTTGACTATAGATCAGTCTATAGTCCTGACTATAGATCAGTCTATAGCCTTGACTATAGATCAGTGTATAGTCTTGACTATAGATTGTCTGTATTCGTAAGTATAAATTAGTCTGTATTTGTGAGTATAGATCAGTCTATATTCTTGACTGTAGATCAGTCTATATTCTTGACTATAGATCAGACTATAACCGTGAATATAGATCCGTCTATAGCCATGACTATAGATCAGTTTATAGTTCAGTCTGTAAGTATAAGTAGATCAGTCTATAGTCTTAACTATAGATCAGTCTATAGTCTTAACTATAGATCAGTCTATAGTTTTGACTAAAGATCAGTCTATAGTCTTGACTATAGATCAGTCTATAGGTATGACTATAGATCGGTCTTTAATCATGACTACTGATCGGACTATAGTCTCGATTGATATATAGTCTGAACTGTAGCAAAATTTAAAAATTTCGAATTGTAAAATTTAAAAATGTTAACTTTTGAATTTAATTAATTTTATTTTTTTCTAATAAAGTGAGATGGCATCACTGTTTAACGTCAAATGTCAAACATTTTTCTAATTCAAATTGTTGAGAATTTCGAATTGGAATAATAATATATAATAACCTGCAGCTTCATTTTACTCATTAAACTGAACTTTTAAATTACAAAAATTAAAACTAGAACCAGAATAATAATCAGTAAATAACAATTTAACGTGTGCTTATTGTGTGACCAAGGGTGTTTTTTTGTTTGGAATCAATATCATGCCACATCAAACATTTAAAAAAAATATATATATATAAAATACAACTCAAAATTATATGATAAAAAAAGATAAATTACTTAAAAGCTTACAACAAAATATTTATAATATTTGTAATTGACTGGCGCGATAATTCAATCACCTCACTCTATTGGTTGGTTGGACTGACTTTGTTTTTTCTAATTTACAAAAGTCGTAGAAGGCAGGTCAGGTTGTTTGTTTGTTTAAAAATAAACGCTGTTTGAAATTCTTTTTACAATGTCGTTTTTTTTTCAGTGTGTTTTGTGTTTGTTTATTATATACACTTAGAGAAAAAAATGTATTTTTAAGGATAAAAGCACAAAATTGTATAAAATGTGTAATGAGCAAGTGAGTGGTTGTCAAATGGTTGATTTGCAAAGAAAAAAAAAACAATTGAAATTGTTTTAAAAATAAAATGAAAATAAATTAGTAAAAGTATTTACAGGGCTGGAGGTATATAGTATAATAAAATTATGATTTGGAGGGATAAAAAGTAGGAATTCTTTCCAAAATATTTGTTAATTTACAAAAACGTTATGATGGAATAGAGGTTTCAAAATTTGAAAAAAAGTGGGGAAAACAGTTGTGTAAGTGTAAATTGTCTTTTTTTTGGATGTAAAATATATGTATATGTGGCAATAGTATTGAAAAGTGTTTTTGTAATTTGTTTGAATTGTTTTTGTTTGGTTTTTTTTTAATATCCGGTAAGTTCGGCGAAGGTGGAGTCCAAATCATCGCAGATTGCTTTGTATTTTTCTTTTTCATGGAAGAGACGGTCTGCAAAAGGCATTTTTATGTTTGTTTTTGGTTAAATAATATTAAAAAGCATTTTTAGCATATTTTTATAATAAAAAAAATTAAATTATAAAAATATTAATATATACAAAAACTAATTAAAAAAAGATAATTATATGAAAAAATTTCTTTCAGTTTTTTTTCGATTTGGTTAGTGTTATTTAAAGCAATATTTTCCTGAAGTTATTTTCCTAAATACCAAAGTTAATAACAAACTTACCTTCTAGCCTGTCGACTTCCTTTTGGAGGCGCTTGACATGCTTCTCAGCATGTTCAGCACGTTGTTCGGCTTCCTTCAATTTAACGGTCAAAGTCTTCATTTCACGTTTGAATTCTTCAACACGTTGGTTGGCCTTTTCTTCGGATACTTCCAAAGATTTCAAGGAGTTACCGACAACCTGAGATAAAAGAAAATTTTATGAGTTTTTTTCTTTTTGTCATAAGTCGCGTTTTTATTAAGTTTATCTATTGTACCTTCAATTCTTCTTCAAGTTCCATGATCTTGGCTTCACCGGACCTGACACGATCTTCAGCAACTTCCAATTCATCTTCAACGAAGGCCAACTTGCGGGATACTTCATCAGATTTGGTATCAGCATCTTCAGCCAACATACGGGCTTCCTTCAATTGGTTGGTCAATTGATCCATACGTTCTTCATCTTGTTGAGAACGGTTTTCCAATACTTTGCACATACTGTGTTATAGGGAATAAAGAGAGAATTTATTAATTTAATTGATTTTAAAAAGATTCAGTTTGTTTTTAAAGAACCTAAGTCTGTTGCTAAAACTTTTCTCTAAAGTCTAGACTTATTTTAGAATGAACTTTATAAACATATCTTAAAAGTTACCTAAACAGATCGAGACTATAAAAGCGAAGACAGTAGAGCCTAAGAAAGCTCTAAATGTGCCTTAAAGTTTGAAATTTTAAAACCTCTTTGAGATAACTTAAATTTCTGTAAATTCTAGACTTCTTTAGCCTGACTTTTTTTAGAATGAGCTTTATAAACATATCTTAAAAGTTACCTAAACAGATCGAGCCTAAAAAGCGAAGAAAGAAGAGCCTAAGAAAGCTCTAAATGAGCTTTAAAGCTTGAAATTTTAAAACCCCCTTGAGATTCGTGACAATTTCATCTTTTTAATATAGAAAGAGAATGTTATATTCTTTTTCCAAAGCTTTTTGAATGAAATATAACTTAAAAAAGCTCTACAAAAGCATAAAAACAGCTAAAAACTCCTAGAGATTATATTAACTCTCTCAATTACATATATCTACAAATTCCAACTTACCGGTTGTTTTCATCAGCAGCTTGAGTAGCTTCCAACAACTTTTGTTGAGCACTGGTTGAGCGTTCTTCAGATTTTTCCAAATCTTCTTCAATTTGTTGTACCTTACGATTCAAAGTGGCTACTTCGGATTCGGTGGCGGTCAACAATTTCTCTTTCTCGTCCAATTCTTGGTTGGCCTTTTCCAATTGTTCCTTGGATGAAACCAAATCGGCTTCAACTTGAACCAATTTTTTCTCCAAATCACGTACTTCTTCCTTCAATTTATCGGCACGGGAATTGGCATCTTTAGCTTGATTTTCACAGGTATCGGCCTTATCAACGGCGTTATCCTTTTCAAGCTTCATCGCTTGCATCTTCTTCTTGATGGCATCCATGTTTGTGTTTTTTTGTTTTTACTACTAAACGGGAAGGAAAAATTTAAAGAAGATATTACACTGTAAAAAAAAGAAAGAAAAATTTTAATTGTTATTAAATCGTTATTAAATTTTAATAAAGGAAATATAACTGCAATATTTTGAGAATATTTGAACGATTTGGAAAACTATTTTCATTAAAATTAATTCAAATCGAATCAGAAACTTGTACCTAAAAATATAACCTCAAATTTGTAATTTACATTTAGAATTCTAAAAAACTTTATAAAATTAAACAAATTTCCAAAAATTTAGAAAAAGTTTTAAAAAATATTATAAAATAATTTCCATAAATATTGAATTTGTCTTGAAACTGTAATCATATAGCTTCCCTCATACTGTTTATCATGTCTACACTTAACAAAATGTTTGTGCTAACATCTGTTTAATGTTTATTATATATTTAGTTAACAAAATATAAACAAACATTCTTTTAATTTGCAGCCCCATTTGGCCTCAAAACCGAAAAAATTCTTCATACCCACACAGTTTTTTCTCCAAATACATACAAATAGCTTTTTGTTTTTGCTGAAAAAAGAGCTTTTTTTCAAATATTTTAAAAATAACTTTTGCCTAGATTAAATGCATAAGAATATTTGGAAATTTTTTGTATTTCGATATTTGAAATATAAAGTTTTAACTAAAAAAAAACAACTGTGTGGGTGTTTTTCATTTCTTCTCTTATTTCTTATACAATAAAATTTGTTTATTTTAAATTCTAAATAAAAAATGGGTTAAATTTGTATTCATGGATATGTTAAGAGATATTACTATTTATTGAGGCCATTTTGGATTTATTTTTAAATTGATGCTGTTTAGCATTTTTTGATATTTTGTTAAAATATAGTTTTCTAGGTTTCCTAGAAGATTTAAAAACAATCAGATGATTGTGGTGATATTGCATATAACCAAAAATCTATTACTGTAACCTTTGACCACTAATAAATAATGTGTGGGATTGGCGATTTTATTTGGTATACTACCTTATTTGGAATTTCAATATTTTTCATATCTTTAGCAAATAGTTGTTTATAATTTTCTTTCAGTGTCTTGCAAAAAAACTTCCTATTTTAAAGTTTTCCTATGTTAGACCTTCACAAGGAAAATAGGTCAAATGAAAGTATTAACTTATGTGACTATCATCTCGTAAAAAAATTGATAGTCAATGGTCCTTCGAACCGAATATGAATATTTGTAAGGTAAACATATTTTACTTGGAACTTTTGTAAAAAAAATTGATAGTCAATGGTCCTTCGAACCGAATATGAATATTTGTAAGGTAAACATATCTTACTTGGAACTTTTGTATAAAGAAATTTAGAATATATTATTCCCTTCTTCTCTTGTTATTCTGCCCAATTATATGATTAGTATTTCCGAAATTAGGAAGAGAAAAATAAGTGAAAAATCAATAAAAATACATGGAATTTGGGAAAGAGTTTTTATTAAGCATGGACATAAATCAAATCTTTCAAAACATCGCAACCTGTTTGTAATATCTTTTCATTTCCCCCTCTCTTAGAGTTACTTAGAAGTGGTCCGTGACCTATTTACGTAGTAGTAGTTATTTTAATTACAATGCCTCTTTTACTTTATTTAAAAAGCTTTTCTCTCTCTTTCTCTCTGACCATAAGAGTTATGTTTTAAATGGTCTTTCGAGCCATATTTAGTTAATTATAACAGACAAGTTATTTGATTTTTTATTGAAATATAATAAATTCAAGTCTTTCAAAATAGAGCAATCTGTTTTTAAAGTTTATTAAACGAACTTTTCATTTTGAGAATTATTATTAAAAGTGGTCCTTCGAACCATAGTGAACTAATAATAATGAAGTTATTTTAATTATTATTAAATTGTCCCTTTTATTTTTCTTTGCAAACACTTATTTCTCGTTTTCTCTGCTAATACATTTCTCTTTCGTTGTCAATTCATAAAAGTTAATTTTTTTATGGTCCTTCGAGCCTTAATGAAGTAATAACTATGAAGTTATTTTAAATACCATTGAAATACATTAAATTGAAATCATTTAAAACGGAGCAAACTGTCTGTAAAGCTTATGAAGTTATTTTCATATCACTTTCTATTAGAGATAATTTAAAATATCTATCATTCTAGCATCTATCTATCTATCTATCTATCTATCTATCTATCTATCTATCTATCTATCTATCTATCTATCTATCTATCTATCTATCTATCTATCTATCTATCTATCTATCTATCTATCTATCTATCTATCTATCTATCTATCTATCTATCTATCTATCTATCTATCTATCTATCTATCTATCTATCTATCTATCTATCTATCTATCTATCTATCTATCTATCTATCTATCTATCTATCTATCTATCTATCTATATATCTATCTATCTATCTATCTATCTATCTATCTATCTATCTATCTATCTATCTATCTATCTATCTATCTATCTATCTATCTATCTATCTATCTATCTATCTATCTATCTATCTATCTATCTATCTATCTATCTATCTATCTATCTATCTGTCTATCTATCTATCTATCTATCTGTCTATCTATCTATCTATCTATCTATCTATCTATCTATCTATCTATCTATCTATCTATCTATCTATCTATCTATCTATCTATCTATCACGAGCTATAATTAATTAAAAGTTAGAATTTTGTTTTACAAAGTTTATTGACAAATTTAAAAAGTTTCTGAGATAAATGTTTAAAGCTGTTAGGGGAGGGGGTGGTACTTAAAGTTGAGCTTAAAGCTTTAAAATCGTTCGATTATAAAACTTCAAATTTTTTTATTTTCGTGAATTTTATATAAAAAACATGTAAAATATATACAGATCTTTCTAAATATCTGAAAATTTAAATTTATTTTTAATTTGTATGTTTTTTTTTTTTTGAAAATTCATTCATTATTTTGACATTTCAAACTTAAATTTTTAAATTTAAAAGTTTATTAAAAACTCTATATAAATTTTTTAATTTTTAATAATAAATTTATAAAACTGTCTAAAGTTGAAAATATTTCAATTCACTTAAAAATTTTGAATTCTTTTAAAAAATTTAAATAAAAAAATTTCAAATCATAATCGAAATAAAAGCTTTTTAAAAGTATATTAAACAAAATTCATTAAGAATTTTTTTCAATTTAAAATATTGAAAAAATTTTATTATTAAAAATCTTCATAATTTAATTTTAAATAAAAAATGTAAATGGATTTGTGGGCGTAAAAACTCAAGGCTGTTTATTTAAAACTATAGTATATAGAAAAAGCTTTTTTAAAAAAGCTTTATTTTCTAAACTTTTTTTAGATAAATATAATATCATTCAAAAATTCTCAAAATATGCATATTTATAAAAAAAAACTCAAAAAATATTTATTAAATATTATATACAGATTTTTTTTTAAACTTTTTTCCTAAAACTTTTTATAAATAAGCTTATATGTATGTGTGTGTATGTGAATTTATATATGTATGTGTGTGTGTGGGCATATAAAATTAAATGTGTAAAAAATATGTGTAAAAATTAGTATATGTGTGTATATATAGGTATTATCCACATATATATACAAATATTAACATATACACTCAGCACAGTTTTGAAAGTATTTTTTTTTTTTTTGTAGAGATTCAATTACAAAATGCCTTATTTGTAAAATTTGAAAATATATGTATGTAGTTTTTAGGGATTTTTAAGATATTTTTAATTTTTTTAAACACTTGCATTAACAACACTGTTTTTATTGTATAGATATGATATTTTTTTTAAATATTACGTTATTTTTCAAAATTTTTGTTTATGACTTTTGTTTTAAAAGTTATTTTTAAAATTTTCTTTTTAATTGTTTTTATTTTAACAAATGTTTATTATGTCATTTTTATAAGATTTTTATTTGCAATATTTTTAATATTTTTAATATTTTTTATTAATTATGTGGAAGTTTTTTTTTAAGTTTTATTACACACACACATACACATATAAGCTTAATTATTAAATATTTTTCTTTTAAATTTTTAAAATATTTTTTTAAATATTACAATAAATTATAGTTTTTTTCTTGTTTTTTAATAGTTTTCTTTGAAAATTTAGTTTTTTTTTTTAAAGGTCTTTAATTTTTCTTTTTTTTTCTTGAAATATTAATAAAATATTTTTTGAGGTTATCCTTTTTTTCTTTTGCTGTTAGAACAGCAACTAACCTTAGCGTTCCAACACACACTATACGCTGTCAAAACCCCGAGAACACTGATGCAGACCAACTTTCTAGCCACACAAAGCCCCCGACGCAAAAAAATTATTTCATTTCACTTATACACTCACACACACCTTAAGTGTAACGGGGAGTTAACATACAACAATGTTTCAATGTGTGTGCATATTTTCAATATTTTATTTTCATTTCATTCAAAATCTCATGATGAAAAATTTCCCCCTAAAAATTTTACTCTCATCTCTGCTAAAAGCAATATCTGCCTTCCTTAAGCAAATCGCTAAATCTACCCAATTATTGCACCTACTCATTTTCCTAAACATTGACTATATGTATACATGTAGATGCTCTTTGTGTATATGTAAACCTATACCTTCTCAAATCGTATACATATAGTACACCGATTTTCGTCTATATGTATAAATGTGTCTGATATATGTATTAGGAAAACACCTCTTTTAAATATATATATCTATATTCTTCACCTTTTTTCCGTTTCTGCTTTTTATTTCATTCTTAAAAAAGCAACACACAGAAACAAAATTTCCTTTTAAACTCTTCTAGTTCCTATACACGATCACTCTTACTCTCTCTCTCTCTCTCTCTCTCTTCATATTTATAAAATTGTCTCTATATTTTCTATTCACATTTGAAATTTATTTCAAAATTATAAATAGATCCTCTTAAAATGTGTGTATCTAATGAAGCTTTTTTTTATTTCTATTTATTTGAAATGTATTCCATTTATTTTCAATTCTATCTGATTTTTGGAATATTTGTTTTTTCAACTAATTTCATATCTATTGTTTTCCAAGGCAGGTCATTCTCTAACTAAGTGTTAAATAGTTTCAAATATTTTCAAAATTTGACCTATATTTTCTTTCAAAAAAAATTCTTCTAAATTGTGTCAATATTTCTTGTAATCTTGTAATCTATTAGTTTTTTATATGTTTTTTTTTCAATATTTTAAATATATTTTTATATATAACTTAATATATATTTTTAAATTTTGTTTATAGAAATACGATCTACATATATTTTTTTTATTATTATCATAATCATTCTTGTTCTTTTTCGGTTTTTTTCTTTCATAAATGTGGGTGTTTAAATTGTTATATATAAATTTTTAAAATACAAATACATATATATCTTTTGTCCATACATTAAATTATTTATTAACTTTTAACAAGTTGTGTTTATGTTATGGCCAACATTTTAAATCATTTTAGCCATTTTGTTGTAATTTTTATTTTGAAAAAAAATTTTGAAATTTTGATATGCAGTATTTTCTAACATCGACACAACTCCAACCGTTAAAGTTCGCTTGCAGTTATATAAATATACAAATATACATATATTTTAATCGTATAACAGACTATAGTAAACTTCTGATAAATAAAAATCGTAAATATCCGTCTGTTATTGTTGGAGAGCAACACAAAGTTTGAGTTATATTAAAAAAATTTTTTTTTTTAACAATTTGCAAAGAAGTTATGAAACCAATTTCCCGATAATAAGGGTATGAACAATTTAAAACGATTGCAATTTTGATAAAGATTTGTAACTTCAAGAGATATACATTAGTTTTTATACATATGTATATAATTTTAGACAGCATATTCTATTGGAATGCATACCTCCAATAGTCTTGTCCATAGACAAGTGTAACCAATAGATCTGTTAAAAGGACGACCAGTCCATAGACTAGTCTATAGATTAGATCATATACTAGTCAATAGAGACTAGTCAATAGTTTAGTCCATAGACTAGTCCATAGTTTTATCCATAGACTAGTCAATATAAAAGTTCATAGACTAGTCAATAGATTAGTCCATATATTAGCCTATAGACTAGTATACAGACTAGTCGACCTACTACTACTACACAGATTAATCTATAGACTAGTTCATATACTAGCACACAGACTAGTATACAATCAAGTCTGCAGTTCATTTAATAGACTTGTACTCAATAGACTAGAGCATAGACTAGTCCACAGACAAGTCAATAGACTAGTCCAAAGACTAATTCTTATACTAGTCCATAAATAAGTCCACAGTCAAGTTCTTACACTAGTCCATAGATTAGTACACAGAAGGGTATAAAGTCTAGTCAGTAAATTAATCAATATACCACTCAATAGATCCGTCAATGCAGTAGTTCATAGACTAGCAGATAATATGCGAAATCATGGACCAAATTTAATCGTAATAGTGTTTGTCCTTGGTACAAAAATAGCATGTGTACCAAATATTTCACATTTATAACCGTTTGATAATTGAAAAACTAGAAGACTAGACTTAACGACTTTAAATCCCTTACTAAATATGCTAAGAAGAAGCAATTTTTTGCCTAATTTACCTAGGGTATTATATATGTTACAAAAATATTGAAAATATTTCCAAATTTTTCATAAATACTAAAATACACTATTTTTATTCAATCCTCCCAGATTTTTTTGTTCACTTTGTCACTCCGTGTGTAACACTAAGAAATGTTCATCTGATACCCAACAAAGTAAATATATTCTTGGTCCTTCTCATTTGTCCGTCCGCCGGTCTGTCTGCCTGTCTGTGTAAAACACGCTTAGGTAAAAACGCAGCGAAATAAATTAATGAAACAAAATCGGTCCACAAATTCCTATACCGAAAATGAATTGTTAATAACTTCTTATAACTTCTTCTTTTTATATAAATGGAATTCATATGAAGAAAAATTGTTTGCATTTGGTTATAGCTCCCATACAAGGTCCTCCTCTAAAAATCACTTAAACTCACATTACTCTTCATTCAGACCACCCTTCCGAAAATCACTTAAACTCGTAAGTATTACTCATTGCCAACTAACGATTTAGTTACAAAATTTTGACATAAATGTTGCTGTTATATACAGAAATGTTACTGTAAAAAATGTCTATAATTGACAATTGATCTATAATTGGCCATACAAGGTCCCCTTCCTAAAATCACTTAAAAGCACATTAATCATTATGAAATAATGATATCCATATTCAATTTAGCACAAAGATTGCTTTTATATACATAAATGTTACTACACACATTTTTAATGATCGTTCTATAATTGGTCATAGTTCCTTTGCAAGATCCTCTTCCGAATCATTTAAACGCGTATTACTCATTACGAACTAATTGCAAAATGACATAAATATTGCTTTTATATACAGAAATGTTACTGTAAAAATGTTTCATGATCGGTAATTGGCCATAGCTACCATAAAAGGTCCCCTTTCGAAAATCAAAAAGTACCTTTTGAAGAACAAAAAAGTACCAAAATGTTCCCTTTTATAGGTTATAATTTACTCCGGCTCTACATGCTGCGAAAAAATACCAAAAACTCCGGGCCTAAATGCATATTACTCATTAGCAAATAATGATATCCATTCAAAATTTTGCAACAAATTTTACTTTTGTGTTCATAGTTCCCACACAGAGAGAAAAAGAAATATACACGTCTGGTACCAAATTGACACTAAACTGTTTATAATTTTTCAATACCATCCGTTGTCAAATTATATACATACGTACGACAACACTATGTAATGTTGATAACATTGCAACAATTCGTTGTCGATATCTAAATTTTATACACATCCGTTGTCTAAATGTTAACAAATGTGGTAAGCTCACTATTGACAAACAATCCGTTGCCAATAGTGAGCTTATCACGTTTGTTAACATTTAGACAACCGATGTTTATAAAATTTAGATTTCGATACGAATTGTTGCAATGCTGACAACGTTGCGTTGTCAACATTATATAGTGTTGTCGTACGTATTTATATACTTAAACAACGGATGTTATTGGAAAATTATAAACTCTTTGGTGTCAATTTGGTACCAGGCGTGTATATTTCCTTTTCCCTCTGTGCATGCAAGGTCTCCACCCGAAAACCAATTAAACGCAGAGGTACATAGATGCATAGAGAAACTTCAATCATTGTCTGTAATAACTTTTCTCATTTGACAAATAACAGATGAAATGGATCGAATTTTGGATAAAAGTCTCTTTAAGCGATGAAAACATACCATTCATTATATAACTCGAAAATGGAAAAAAACATACCATAAATGTTGATAGGTAGGAGGGGTTTTTCACGTTTTTCATTGAACAACTCAATCCCCTGATCTGAACCCCAATATATTAATTTTGGATCATTGTAGATCGGTTTATATAATGAAATATAAAAACTAAAAGGCACATCTTGGAGTGCGTAAAATACCCATGGAATAATATTTCAAAGGATTAAGTAATGCTCCTGAAGGCTTATATGACTTCCAGATGTGCTCCAGTTAGAAAAAATATGGATATGCTTTAAATTATTATGTTAAAAATTAATTTAAATACATATGTTTAAGAAGTTGTTGCTATAAAACAAATTTATAAAGAATTCCACATAAATCCAATTCCATGGTCTTGTATTCAATGTGAACCGATCCTGAAGAAATCTGATAGAGAGATTTCGGTCCTATAAAACTTGTTTATGTTGAAGTTCAATGATATATGTACTTGGATTTTTTAGCTATGAGCGTTAAAATCATTCCGTTTCAGACCTTATATGGTGGGTGGGGTCTATAATGAAACCATTTAGTATGTATATTTTAGTTCTAATAAAACTTGTTTATGTCGAATTTCAACATTATACATGTTATTTTATTTTGTTGAGGGGTGGCATATAAGGGCTTGTTTTTGGACTAGTACTAGAACATGTGAACCGATATTGACCATTTTCAATACCAAACAATTCATATTTCTACCAACCATTCGATCGCAGTTAATGCATAGAAATACTTTGATGTTTATCCTAACACTTTAATAAAATTGTTTAAATTATATTTATAAAGTTTTAGATTCTTCCAAACCCTTTCATTTCTACTAGAAAAAAGACTTTCATTTTTTTTGTAAAATAATTGATTTTATTTACTTGTGAAAAAAACTAAAAGTAATTTGTCATAAAAATAGTTTAATGCTTTTAAATATTTGTTTGTTATTAATTTAAAGCTAATACTATAAATATTTTAATTTTTTATTTTTTCATAAAAAAAGGCAAAAATGCATAATTACATTTACACATTTAGTATTATAATTACTACGAAAAACTTAATGAAAAAGAAACTTGAGTTTAATTTTGGAAAAATGCTTAAAAAAATAATAAATAGTTTAGAAATAAAACAAAAAACATTGGTGGGGTTTATGTTAAAAAAAAAAATAAAACTGCAACTGATTTTTAGGGAAGTGTAGTTAATAGTGATGTTGGAGTAGGTGTAAGAGAGCATTTTACATTTGTTTTATTTTATTAAAATATGGAATTTAATTAGGCAGTTTAAGTTTTACATATATAATTTTTTGTTAATATATATTTTTTTTAATATGGAATGTTATTTATTTTTTTTTTTCTTTTGTTTTACTTTAAATATTAAATTTTCTTTGTAAAGTGTATCATTGTTTTTGGTTTTTATTAGTAAATAAAATTTGTATTTGTTGTAAGGTTGTTTTAGAACTAATTTAGGGATTAGTTATTAAATCAGGTTGTCTGGCTAGCCATTATCCCTTATGTTTAAATCATATATTTAGTAATTATTTAATTCAGCATATTCCAATTCTTGGGCAATATTTTTGTACTTCTCTTTGCTTTTGCTTACTTCCTCTGTAAGAAAATTTTTTATATTATTAAAATGTTGTATTAGAAATAAAAGCAAATATATTCGACTGTGCCGAATCTTATATACCCTTCACCATAGTGTGAACAGTTTGAAAATAGAATAGTACGAAAAAGTTCCCTTTTATAGATTTTCTTTTAATCAGATCGCTGCGTGTTCAATTCTATCCTTCGAGGTTTAATATTAAAACATATTCAAAAAGTACCAATTGAAAAGCGAAAATGTACCAAAAAGTTTACTCTTATATGATTCTATATGTCTAAATATATGTTTCTAAGTTCAATATTACAGAAAAACCAAAAAGTGACGATCGAAAAAGTACCAAAAATCCATTCCTACAGATTTTCATTCACTCAGGTCTCTGAAAGTTTAATTTAATATTTCTAGGTTCAATATTATAGAAAACCCAAAAAGTACCTTTTTAAAAAAGAAAAAGTACCCAAAAGTCCCTTCAATAGATTCTCAATTACTCCGAGCTCTATAAGCTTAACTTCTTGTTTCTAGTTTCAATATTATAGAAAACTAAAAAGGTACCTTTTGAAGAACTAAAAAGTACCAAAAAGTCCCCTTTTGTAGGTTCTTATTTACTCCAGTTAATGAACGAAAAAGTACCAAAAAGTCACCTCTATAAGTTCCCATTTACTTTCGTGTTCTACATGCCTAATATAACGTTTCTATGTTCAATGTTATAGAAATTCAAAAAAGTACCTTTTAAAGAACGAAAAAGTAGCAAAAAGTCCCTTCAGTAGATTCTCAATCGCTCCGGGCTCTACAAGCTTAACTTTATATTTCTAGTTTCAATATTATAGAGAACTAAAAAAGTACCTTTTGAAGAACTAAAATGTACCAAAATGTTTGTAGGTTCTTATTTACTCCAGTTAACGAACGAAAAAGTACCAAAAAGTCATCTCTATAAGTTCTCATTTACTTTCGTGTTCTAAACGCCTAACAAAACGTTTCTATGTTCAATATTATAGAAATTCAAAAAAGTACCGTTTGATGAACAAAAAGTTACCAAACTGTTCCCTTTTATAGATTCTCATTTACTCCGGTTCTATATGCTGCGAAAAAATACGAAAAAGTCCCTTTTATAGGTTCTCATTTAGTCCGGGCTCAAGTAAAAAGTATCCACATTTCTCCTTTTATAGGTTCTCATTTACTTCGTGCTCCAGATGCTTAATTTTATGTTTCTAGGTTAAATAATATAGAGAACTCAAAAAGTACCTTTTGAAAAACGAAAAAGTACCAGAATTATAAATAACACCCCAAGAGCATATTTAAGAATTAAAACTAAACATTTTAAAATAATTTTTCCCATCCCTGCTAAATTTCCCGCACACAATTTTCCATTTCTGATTTTGGCATCAACAAAACAATAACAACACATAGTTTTATATGTGACTTGTTGTTGTTGTAACAGATTGGATGATACAGCTATCTATGGCTGAGTGTACAATCTTTGGCCGATTGGGAATTGGATCGTTCCGGAGCTAAAACTTTTTGACGAAATTTTCAGAGGTTGTCTCGGATATTTGCTCATATATTCGTTGAACTTTTCTAAAGCATATCGAACACAATTGTAGAAGCTGTGGGTCCCCCAGATATGTGGGACCTTCAGAAAATTGATTTCAACAAACATTCAGACAAATGGACACTTACACGAAAGTATGTCTGACAGAATTGTAGAAAATTTGGGTAACGAAAATATCTGGGGTATTGAGGAAATTGATTTCAACTAACATACAGACATACGGACATAACTTAATCCAATCCGTTACCTATAAGGACTCGGACTGCTTTATTTAGGGACCGATTTAACTGATTTTAAATAGCAAACTTCTCGAAAGCATATCTGACATAATTGTTGAACATTTGAGTCGAAGATATATGTAAACATACAGACGGACATAGCTTAATCCAATCCGCTACCTATAAAGACTCTTACTGCGTTATTTAGGGACCGATTTAACAGATTTTAAATAGCAAACTTCTCGAAAGCATATCTGACAGAATTGTTGAAGATTTGAGTCGAAAATATAAACATACAGACGGACATAGCTTAATCCTATCCGCTACCTAAAAGGATTCGGACTGCTTTATTTAGAGACCGATTTAACTGATTTTAAACAGCAAACTTCTCGAGAGCATATGACAGAATTGTTGAAGATTTTAGTTACACAGATATATGTGGCGCCTTTAAATATTGATTCCAACAAACAAACAGACGGACAGAACTTAATCGAGTTTGCTATTTATAAGGATTTGTATTCCTTTATTTACGGACCGATTTATCGGATTTTAAACAGCAAACTTCTCGAAAGCATATCTGACAGAATTTTTGAAGATTTGAGTCACGAAGTTACATATAAACATACAAATCGGGTCTATAAGTTTTCAGAATATATCTATATACTTTATAGGATCAACAAATTATAATATAGAAATTATACTCTTCTCACGACGGCGAAGGGTATAAAAACACAATTTACTACTTTTTTTACGAAAAATAAAAAATTACTTTATTAAACTAAAAATTAAAAGAAAATTTAAGTAAAATTAACTACAAATAAATAAAAAAAAACACAAAGATAATTTTTATTAAATAAATATTATGCTGACAACTATTTATTTCATTTGTTTTTTTTCTTCATTAATTACACAAAAAATACATTGTAGCTAAATAGAAAGATAAATAAATACGAGTTAAACAACAAAAATCCAAAAAAGTATAGTTTAGCAACTAATGATATATAAATAAAGGTTTAGGGGGGGAGGGAAGTTTCTTTTTGCAAATAAATTTCTTTATTTTATTTTTTATTTTTTTTAATTTGTAATTACTACTCTAAAACCAAAGTTTCAATGCTGCTACTACTGTACTGCCACTGCAATAACAATTGCAGAACAGACGGGCGGCATTTGCCAGGGACTTAGAGCTTTTAAGGCTTGATTGTGTGAAATTATTCCTTGAGGATAAGTTCGACGAAGGCGGTATCGAGATCGTCGCCGATATCCTTGTATCTTTCCTTCTCCAAGACAAGGTCGTCTATTTAAATTAAGAGAAAAATTAAAAAAAAATAAAAATAAAATTAATAAATTAAAACAAAAAAAATTTAAACAATAAACATAAAAAATTTTAGGACAAATTTTCCTAAATTACAAAACTTTGTTACAACACTTGTCTGACATTACTTTTCTGGACATTAAAACAAAAACGTTTCCTTTTTTTGGAAAATAAAATTTACCTTTTTTTAGCAAATAAAAAAATTAAGCTTGTTGTTTTAAAGCATCAGCGCAGCCGTTATAAATTCTGGAGCTAAAGTTTTTTTTTAGTTTTTTTTTAATTGTTAATAAAATAAAAAATTTGGTAGACGTTTGCTTGAGTTAAAAAAATATATATTTTATAAAATCATGCTTATGAAAAAAAAACATAACATTTGCACGGTTTTTGTTTGTTTTTGGCAGCATAGTGTTAGCGATTGTGATGATTGTTTTCCGATGTTAGATTTTTTACAAAAAGGGTCATTTAACACGTTCAAGATGCGGGTGCTTCAGCGGGGGCGGCTTCTGCTGGTGCAGCTTCCGCTGGAGCTGGGGCAGCTTCTGCGGGTGCTGGAGCTGCCTCTGCGGGTGCCGGAGCAGCTTCAGCAGCTGGTGCTGGTGGTGCAGCTTCCGCTGGAGCAGCACCTTCAGCAGCAGGGGCTGCAGGAGCTGCAGCATCAGCCGGTGCGGCTGGTGCAGCACCTTCAGCAGCTGGAGCCGCAGGTGCAGCAGCACCCTCAGCAGCAGGAGCCGCTGGTGCAGCAGCGCCCTCTGCAGCAGGAGCCGCAGGTGCAGCACCTTCAGCTGGTGGTGCGGCTCCCTCGGCTGGTGGTGCTGGCGCAGCACCCTCAGCCGGTGGAGCAGCACCTTCAGCTGGTGCAGCAGCACCCTCAGCAGCTGGTGCTGGTTCAGAGCCAGGTGGTGGAGGTTCATAATTCTTAACAAATGGCACTTCAGCACCTTCTGGTGGCAAATCAATGACATATTCAAATGGTGGTGGAGGTGGTGGAGGAGGTGTTGGTTCCTTAGGTGGTTCTGGAGCAGCAGCTGGTTCACCCTCAGCAGCCGGAGCGCCTTCAACAGCACCCTCAGCAGTCGATTTAGGTGAACCGCCTCCAGCAGCTGCTGCAGCGGCGGCGGCTTCAGCTTCAACAGCAGCTGCTGCGGCAGCTTCCGCTTCAGCCTTAGCCGCTTCCTGGGCGGCAATTTCTTCGGGTGTAGGTGTAGGCAATTTTGGTGTAGGTGGCTTTGGATTGCGTGGTGTATAGAAGGGTTCTAAACCTGGAATCAAATCCATAAAAGCCAAATCCAAACTGTCTCCAATCAAACAATAACGTTCCTTTTCAACAATGATATCGTCTGTTATGTTTATAATCCCCAATTGTATTTGTTTATTTTATTTTGTTTTAAGGTTTTAATAATGATTTTGTTTTACAATATGAAGCACAGAAGCAAATTATAATTAAAAAATGTTTTATAAAAATAAAAAGAAAAAAGAATGAAAGAAATTTTTATAGAAAAAGAAGTTATAGAGGGAATAAAGAGCGAGATAGATAGAAAGTATAGAGAGTAAAGCTAAGAGAATTGAATTTAACGGAAATTCAAGTAGGAAATAGAGAAAAATCAGGATACTGGGTTTATAAGACATAAAACAGTAGAGTGAAGAAAAGAAAAACACCGACAGGTTTTAGGGGAGGGTTTATAGAAAATTAGTCAATATTTGATGAAATGAAAGAGATTTTCAATTCACACACATTTTGTTGGCATAATTTAGAACAAAAAAATCACAGCTTTATTGTACAGCTTTTGAAGAGAGTGAAGAGATTGTATGAAAAATATTTATAATTAAGGCAGCCTTTTTAAGCTGGTGGAGCTTCGGCAGGTGGAGCGGGAGCAGCAGCTTCAGCAGGGGCAGGAGCTGCACCTTCAGCTGGTGGAGCAGGGACAGCAGCTTCGGCAGGTGCTGGGGCAGGAGCACCTTCAGCTGGTGCAGGCGCTCCTTCAGCTGGAGCTGGGGCAGGTGCACCTTCAGCAGGGGCTGGCGCAGCGGCACCCTCAGCTGGAGCTGGGGCCGGTGCACCTTCTGCTGGAGGAGCACCACCTTCAGCTGGTGCAGCAGCAGGGGCACCTTCAGCAGGTGCGGCTCCCTCGGCTGGCGCTGGTGCAGGAGCCCCCTCAGCAGCAGGCGCTCCTTCGGCTGGGGCTGCACCTTCAGCTGGTGGCGGTGGCTCTTGTCCGGGTTCATAATTCTTAACATATGGCACTTCAGCACCTTCTGGTGGCAAATCGATGGCATATTCAAATGGTGGTGGAGGTAGTGGTGGGGGAGTTGGTTCCTTGGGTGGTGGTGGTGCAGCAGCTTCCACAGCCGCACCCTCTGCGGCGGGAGCAGCTCCTTCTGCTGCTGCAGGCGCCGCAGCTCCCTCACCAGCCGCTGCGGCTGCTTCCGCAGCAGCTTCAGCTGCTGCTACAGCCTCAGCTGCAGCAGCTTCTGCAGCAGCCACTTCTTCAGCTGTTGGTGTTGGCAGTTTAGGTGTTGGTGGTTTAGGATTACGATCAGTATAGAATGGTGGCATTCCCATTAATTCTACAAATGTTACATCCAAACTGTCGCCTATAATGGCGTAATGTTCTTTTTCCGTTATAATTTCATCTGCTCGGCAGTATTTTTTGGTTTTTGTTTTCATTGCGTCGTAGATCGTTTTACAAAGAAAAGGTGTGTGGTGGTTGAGGTGTGACACAAATATTTTTTTTTTTTTTAAATCAAGGGTTGGGTCGCATTTTTTTATTTATTAATTTTATTATTTTATTTTATGGTTAGCAGAGCATTTATTTATTATTATTAGGCAGGAGAGCGTAGCAATATTTTAATAAATTCAAAAATAAGAATAAAAAAATAAAAAAATTTTAATTAAAATTAAGGAATTTTAATCAAATAAAAAAAATTGGGATTATTATTTTTTAACTAATCTAGAGAATGGCCAATAAATGAACTTTATAGGAAAGGAAATGAATGGAATAGGAAGGAGACAAATTGCATTTGTTTAGGAAAAACAAAAACAGTTAAAACCATTTTCAAGTACATATACTTATTACAAATAAAAACACTAGTACAGAATTTGTTAATAGTTCAATCTATAGTCTAGTCTAGTCTCTAGTACCCTCTAGGGTCCAGTCTAAAGTTGAATATAAAGTTAAGTCTAAAGTTCAGTATAAAGTCAAGTCTATAGTCTAGTTTGTAGTCTAGTCTATAGTGTAGCCTATAGTCTTTTCTACAGTCTAATCCATCGTCTATATTCTAGTTTATAGTATAGTCTATAGCCTAGTATATAGTATAGTCTAGATTATAGTCTAGTCTATAGTCTTGTCTATAGGCTAATCTATAGTCTAGTCGTTAGTCTAGTCTATAGTCTAGTCCATAGTCTAGTCTAAAGTCTAGTTTATAGTCTAATTTATAGTCTAGTTTATAGTCTAGTCTATAGTCTAGTTTATAGTCCAGTCTATAGTCTAGTCCATAATCTAATCTATAGTCTAGTCTATAGTATAGACTATAGTCTACTCTATGTCTAGTCTGTAGTCTAGTCTAGAGTCCAGCCTATAGTATAGACAATAGTCTAGTCTATAGTCTAGTCAATATCTGGTTTATTGTCTAGTCTATAGACTATTCTATAGTCCCGACTATATTCTAGACTATACTTTAGTCTATGGTCTGGTCTATAGTGTAGTCTATTGTTTAGTATATAGCCCAGTTTAGTCTATAGACTAGTATATAGTCCAGTCTATGGTATAGTCTAGTTTATAGTCTAGCCTATAGTCTAGGTTATAGTCTAGTCTATAGTCTAATCTATAGTATAGACTACAGTCTACTCTATGCCTAGTCTATGGTCTAGTCTGTAGTCTAGTCAATAGTCCAGTCTATGTCTAGTCAATATTGTAGCCTATTGTCTAATGTATTGTCTAGTCTATAGTCCAGTCAATATCTGGTCTATAGTCTAATCTTTAGTCTGAGTATAATCAAGTCTATAGACTGGACTCCAGACTATAGTCCAGTCTATAGTCTAGTCTATACTCTAGTCTATACTCTAGTCTATAGTCTAGTCTATAGTCTAGTCTATAGTCTAGTCTATAGTCTAGTCTATAGTCTAGTCTATAGTCTAGTCTAGTCTAGTCTATAGTCTAGTCTATAGTCTAGTCTATAGTCTAGTCTATAGTCTAGTCTATAGTCTAGTCTATAGTCTAGTCTATAGTCTAGTCTATAGTCTAGTCTATAGTCTAGTCTATAGTCTAGTCTATAGTCTAGTCTATAGTCTAGTCTATAGTCTAGTCTATAGTCTAGTCTATAGTCTAGTCTATAGTCTAGTCTATAGTCTAGTCTATAGGCTAGTCTATAGTCTATAGCCTAGACATTGTCTAGTCTATAGTCTTGTCTATAGTTTAGCCTATTGTCTTATCTATATTCTTGTCTATAGTTTAGTCTATTGTCTAGTCTAGTTTATAGTATAAACTATTGTTTTAAATTGCAAAGTTATTATTTTTTTTATTTTTCTGAAAATACTTTTTATTTTTTTGTGCAAACTGCAGCGAAATTTGTTTTTTTTTTTTATATTTGTTTTGTAGTTTATTTTTGTAAATAATAGTTATATATAAATAATAATTAAAAAAAGTAGTTGTAAATAATGAAAATATACTATATTGTCTTTTTTTAATTGTTTATGTTGTTGTTGATTTGTTTTTTTTTTTTTTATAATTTATGCAAAATAATTACTATTTTAATAACTTTAGAAATATATTTTAAAAGAAATACATTAATAAAGTATAATTTATTATTTGTATTATTATAAAAATCAAATTTTTTTTGTTTTAAGAAATTAATTTGCTTAAAAAGGAATGCTAGTTTTTTTGATTGCTTAGTTGTCATAGTAATAATTGGAAGTGTGTGTGGGGTTTTTTTCTAAAGAAAAAAATTTTGATTTAAACAAAAAAATTAAATAACTTAAAAAATATTACACAATGAAATTAAAAAAAATGGAATTGTATATTTTTACAACATTTAAAAAAAGAAAAATATTAATACAGGAAAAATACATACAAATCTTAACCAAAAAAAAAAAAGAAAAGAAAATTATAAACTTTTTTAAATAAAAAAAAAGATTTTTTTCGCGAAAGAAAGAAAAATATTAAAATTTACTGGCAAATACTACAAAAAGAATAAGTTTATAAGTTTTATTTAAATGGAATGCTTTTTTAACAGAGAAATTAAGAAGAAAATACGGCGGCATGTATTTTTAATTAACATCATAGAAGTTAAAAAATATGTTTAAAGCAAACGTTAAATTTTTTATAGTAAATCTCTTTAAAAGAATTGAGAATTTAAGTTGACGCTGCATTTTCTTTAATAGTTTTCTTTTACTTTTTTCTTTTCTTATTACAAAAAAAAAATATATAAAAAGAATTCATTTAAATTTGTCTGTCTTGTTGTTGGAATTTTGTTTTAAATAAAATTTAAATGAATCCTTTAGGCTAGTATGGTAGTTTTGTTTTTTTTTCTCTTTTGTTGTTGCAATAATTATTATATAATGTTATTAATAATTTAAGTGTGTTTTCACATATTTTGAATATCATGCAGAGTGGCTTCCATTTCTTCTTGTAATAGTTTATTTTTGGAGCGTTCGTTCATCAAGTCATCTGGTTATGTTTTAAACAAAGGTTATTTAAACAATTATATTATTTTTATTAAAAGGCAAACAGCAGCAGCACGTCACACATTTAACGCAGGATATTGAGTTTTGATTTTATTGAGCAGGTTTTATATTTATTTTATTAGTAAACAACATAAAACAAAAGTTTTTTTTTTTTGGGCAGGCAGGCAAAGTTTTATAAATTTAAGCGTTTTTATATAAAAAAATTAAAAAAAAAATAAAAAATTTATTAATAAAACATAAAAAAATTATAAATAAAATAAAAAATACAAAATTTTTAGCAAAAAACACTAAACAAAAGGATAAATTTCAATTTTTCCTACTTTTTTCAAACTAAAAGATTATTTTTATATTTAAAAATGAATCAACTAAAAAAAATCCTACTTTTATTCATTTAATTTAAAATATTGTTTTCTATAAAGAATTCGAAACAAAATCTAAAGAAAAACTTACCTTCGAGCCTGTCGACTTCCTTTTGCAATTTTTGAACGGAACGTTCGGCGAATTCAGCACGAGCTTCAGCCTTTATGAGTTAAATAAAAAGAAAATTGTATAAGTATTTTGTTTATTAGAAAAGGGATTAAAAACAGAACTTTTTTTTAAAGAAAATAAAGACAATTTATTTATGATATAAAAGAAAATATTTATCGCTAATAGATTTTAATAATTTTTTGTATATTTTATATAATTTTATTTCAAATTTTTCTTAAGATTTTAGTTTTTGTCTTTATTTTCTTTGTTTTAAGTTTTGTTTTTATTGAAAAAAAATAACATAAGCTTCCCAAAATTATTTATTTATAATAATTTACTACCAAAACCATTGTTAAACATACACATTTTTAACTTCACTTGTTGTTTTTTTTTTTTCTCTTTTTCAAAATTCCATTTAAAGATTAGTTAAGAAAAACAAGCGTAAAGCAATACAATGTTAATTTTTAATGCGAAATAAAGTTTTGTAAAAATTAGTAAGAAAGTTATAGTTTATAGTCTAGTCTATAGTCAAGTCTATAGTCAAGTCTATAGTCAAGTCTATAGTCAAGTCTATAGTCAAGTCTATAGTCTAGTCCATAGTCTAGTCTATAGTCTAGTCTATAGTCTAGTCTATAGTCTAGTCTATAGTCTAGTCTATAGTCAAGTCTATAGTCAAGTCTATAGTCTAGTCTATAGTCTAATCTATAGTCTAGTCCATAGTCTAGTCTATAGTCTAGTCTATAGTGTAGTCTATAGTCTAGTCTATAGTCTAGTCTATAGTCTAGTCTATAGTCTAGTCTATAGTCTAGTCTAGTCTAGTCTATAGTCTAGTCTAGTCTAGTCTATAGTCTAGTCTATAGTCTAGTCTATAGTCTAGTCTATAGTCTAGTCTTTAGTCTAGTCTATAGTCTAGTCTTTAGTCTAGTCTATAGTCTAGTCTTTAGTCTAGTCTATAGTCTAGTCCAATCTATAGTCTAGACTATAGTCTATAGCCTAGTCTATAGTCTAGTCTAGTCTAGTCTATAGTCTAGTCTATAGTCTAGTCTATAGTCGAGTCTATAGTCTAGTCTATAGTCTAGTCTATAGTCCAATCTATAGTCAAGTCCAATCTATAGTCTAGTCCAATCTATAGCCTAGTCTATAGTCTAGTCTATAGTCTAGTCTATAGCCTAGTCTATAGCCTAGTCTATAGTCTAGTCTATAGTCTAGTCTATAGTCTAGTCTATAGCCTAGTCTATAGTCTAGTCTATAGTCTAGTCTATAGTCTAGTCTATAGTCTAGTCTATAGTCTAGTCTATAGTCTAGTCTATAGTCTAGTCTATAGTCTAGTCTATAGTCTAGTCTATAGTCTAGTCTATAGTCTAGTCTATAGTCTAGTCTATAGTCTAGTCTATAGTCTAGTCTATAGTCTAGTCTATAGTCTAGTCTATAGTCTAGTCCATAGTCTAGTCTATAGTCTAGTCTATAGTCTAGTCTATAGTCTAGTCTATAGTCTAGAGTATAGTCTAGTCTATAGTCTAGTCTATAGTCTAGTCTACAGTCTAGTCTATAGTCTAGTCTATAGTCTAGTCTATAGTCTAGTCTATAGTCTAGTATATAGTCTAGTCTATAGTCTAGTCTATAGTCTAGTTTATAGTCAAGTCTATAGTCTAGTCTATAGTCTAGTCTATCGTCTATTCTACAGTCTAGTCTAAAGTCTAGTCTATAGTCGAGTCTATAGTCTAGTCTATAGTCTAGTCTATAGTCTAGCCAATAGTCTAGTCTATAGTCTAGTCTATAGTCTAGTCTATAGTCTATAGTCTAGTCTATAGTCTAGTCTATAGTCTAGTCAATAGTCTAGTCTATAGTCTAGTCAATAGTCTAGTCTATAGTCTAGTCTTTAGTCTAGTCAATAGTCTAGTCTATAGTCTAGTCTATATCTAGAGTCTAGTCTATAGTCTGTTCTAGTTACAGTATTGTCTATAGTCTAGTCTATAGTTTAGTCTATAATCCAATCTATAGTATAGGCTATAGTCTAGTCAATAGTGTAGTCCATTGTCTAGGTGTTAGTTAGTAAGTATTCTAATCTAGTCAACAGTGTTACACATAGTCTAGTCTTTAGACCATTTTTACACACAGAATAGGCTATAATTAAAACAATAATTCAAGCTCTAACTAGAAATTAAAAAAAAATTAAACATGCTTTATAAAATAATTATTAAAACAAAACAAAATACTAAAAAATTATGCTGTAAAAAAAGAAAAACCATAAAAATAAATAATTAAATAAATAAATTTCGTTCAAAGATAGCAAATCTTTAGCTTTACTTTGTCATACTTTACTATTTAGTTTAATACTCTGTTTTACGTTTTAGATTTAAATTTTATTTTGGAGGGGAAGTTTTTGTTTTTTAAATCCTATAATAAAGAAATTATTATTAAATTATATTAACTACTCAGCTAACAAAAAAGCAATTATTTTTAATTTCTTTACAATTTGTAGTAGAATAGAACCCAAAATAAAACTTACAATGGCTAAAGTTTCTTTTTCTTTTTTGATTTCCTGTTCGATAAGACTTTGGGCTTCACGGGCCTAAAGTAATGTTAAAAGAAAACATGAGTATTTTTTTGTTTTAAAGAAAATTTTCTTTACAAAACAACTACCGATTTGAGTTTAATTGTTTTAAGTACTTTTTATTTTCGCAAGACCAAAATTAGAAGATTAATTTCCAAATACTTAAGAGATTTATAGTATTTATGCATATTCACATTCCTTTTTATTACATTCCTGCTACAGTAAAAGGTTTTTGTTTAATAGTTGATTAGAAAAAAATTCTCTTGCAATTAATGCACAAAAAGTTGTTTTCAATTTTATATTTAGGCAAAAAAAAGTGTACATTACTTTAAGAAATTTAATTGAGTGTAACAGAGACAAGTTGCTTAATTAAGATTTTTGTTGGTTTCTTTTTTTAAATCCTTGGTATTTGAATTTCTTATGTTATAAATACTCATGTTTCTTTGTCATGACTTTATTTTTAGAGGGGTCCGTGTTATGGTTAATTTTTTATTTAAAAAATAAAAAGAAAATATCAAATAATTTTTTTAGATTTATACATAAACAATTTGTTTTGGTTTTTTTGTTTAATTAAATATTTTCATATGTACATTTTTTAATTAAAATTGAGAATAACAATTTGTGCAATTTAATATTTTCTTTTTTCTTTTGTTTTTTGATAAATGGGAGATAAGGGTCAATATTTATATAGGATTTGTATTATAATAATTTCTATATTATGATTATATTTTAAATAAAGGGTAATTGGAGGAAATCTAAGGGATATGTTAAGTCTATAGAGAAGACGTGGGTTTTAGAAACGTATCACAGTTACAATTTAATTTGTTCTTCTTATTTTCTATTAACGCTTTCCTCAAGTAATGCTGCTTATATCACTTCTACTTTATAAAACAGTCTAGAGTCCAAAACAAGTTTAAAGACTAATCAAATTTATAGTATAATCTGCAGTCTAATCCATAATCTATAGCTTAGTCTACAGTATAGTTTATAGTCGAGTCTATAGTCTATATTATAGTCTAGTCTATAGTGAAGTCTACAGTATAGTCTATAGTCTAGTCTGTAGTCTAGTCTATAGTCTAGACTCTAGACTATAGTCTAGTCTATAGTCTAGTCTATAGTCTAGTCTATAGTCTAGTCTATAGTCTAGTCTATAGTCTAGTCTATAGTCTAGTCTATAGTCTAGTCTATAGTCGAGTCTATAGTCTAGTCTATAGTCTAGACTATAGTCTATAGTCTAGTCTAGTCTATAGTCTAGTCTATAGTCTAGTCTAGTCTATAGTCTATAGTCTAGTCTAGTCTATAGTCTAGTCTATAGTCTAGTCTATAGTCGAGTCTATAGTCTAGTCTATAGTCTAGACTATAGTCTATAGTCTAGTCTATAGTCTAGTCTAGTCTATAGTCTAGTCTAGTCTATAGACTAGTCTATAGTCTAGTCTATAGTATAGTCTATAGTCTAGTCTATAGTCGAGTCTATAGTCTAGTCTATAGTCTAGTCTATAGTCTAGTCTATAGTCTAGTCTATAGTCTAGTCTATAGTCGAGTCTATAGTCTCGTCTATAGTCTAGTCTATAGTCTAGTCTATAGTCTAGTCTATAGTCTAGTCTATAGTCTAGTCTATAGTCTAGTCTATAGTCTAGTCTATAGTCTAGTCTATAGTCTAGTCTATAGTCTAGTCTATAGTCTAGTCTATAGTCTAGTCTATAGTCTAGTCTATAATCTAGTCTATAGTCTAGTCTATAGTCTAGTCTATAGTCTAGTCTATAGTCTAGTCTACAGTCTAGTCTATAGTCTAGTCTATAGTCTAGTCTATAGTCTAGTCTATAGTCTAGTCTATAGTCTAGTCTATAGTCTAGTCTATAGTCTAGTCTATAGTCTAGTCTATAGTCTAGTCTATAGTCTAGTCTATATCTTAGTCTATTCTACAGTCTAGTCTATAGTCTAGTCTATTCTATAGTCTATAGTCTAGTCTATATCTTAGTCTATTCTATAGTCTAGTCTATAGTCTAGTCTATAGTCTGGTCTAAAGTCTAGTCTATAGTCTAGTCTATAGTCTAGTCTATAGTCTAGTCTATAGTCTAGTCTATAGTCTAGTCTATAGTCTAGTCTATAGTCTAGTCTATAGTCTAGTCTATAGTTTAGTCTATAGTCAATTCTATAGTCTAGTCTATAGTCTAGTCTATAGTCAATTCTATAGTCTAGTCTATAGTCTAGCCTACAGTCTGGTTTATAGTATAGTCTATGGTCTAATCTATACATTAGTCTATAGTCTATTTAGTAGTCTGTTCTATAGTCTATTCAATAATCTGGTCTATAGTTTAGTCTATAGTCTAGACTATAGTTCAGTCTATAGTCTAGACTATAGTTCAGACTAAGATCTAGTCTAACATAAACAGTTCAATCTATGGTACATTTTTTATATATTCTAATCTAAAATCCATTCTGAAACTAAAATCTAATACTAAAAATTACTACCATCACCAAATGAAATAATAAACGAAATATTTTATAACTTATAAACTAATAACTACCACACACCACCTTAAAAACTATAAAAATAATTGAAAAATCTTGTGTCGATTCGATACCTCTTTTAATTGATGATCCAAAACTCTGATTTGTGTTTCAAAAGTTTCCTCTTTTTGTGTGGCCTTTTTTTATTTACGTTTAAGTTAAATAAACATTTAAATTGGTGGTAACGTGTTGGATTGATTGATAGGTTGGTTGGTGTGGTTTTTGGGGTGTATAACAACAACACATTTAACAAATATTTTGGTGGCACCAAAGTAGAGTATTTTTTGCATTTAACAAATAGTATTTGCATACAAAAAATGGGTTAATTTTCAAAAAGCATGCACAATTAGGAGGAGTTATAACCACAAGCAATATATTTTTTAGATTTGTCGTTGGCAAAAATGCGTTTAAAAATTTGTTTGTTGATTTAATTTTTAATTAACAAACAAATTCAGTATTTTATTTTTTCAAAGCAGCAAACAAAATATGAAAATAAAAAAAATGCAAAATTTATATTAAAAACAGTTAAAGTAATTAATAATTAATTGTATATAAAAAAACATCGGTAGATATTTTATAAATATTTTATAGTTTTTTATATAAATATAGACATAAAATAAGGGTTAAAGTTATATAATAAGTAAAAGGACAGATAAAAGATGATTAAAAGTTAGAAAGAAGTGAAATAAAAATGAGCAATTTCATAAAATCATAAAAGAAATGTTTAACGGTTTTGTGCGTTTCTTCTTTTTATATAGTTTTTCATAAACAAAAAAACATTAAAAAGAATTTTCATATTTCCTTTTCGTACATCCAACAACAATAAAAACAGTAATATTTTTCTTTTTGGTTAGAACATTTAAACCAAACCCCTAGACTTTGGGAGAACCAATATTATTCTGTTATAGAAAAATAAATTGGTTCTAGAGATTATAAAAATTCATTCATTTAAGACATTCTTTTCAATACTTGTGTAGAGTGTAAAGAAAGTGTTTTGTTTTTCTTTTGGGAAGTTTGTTACTTTTTTTTGCATCAGCTTTTCTTATGTTTATAATAAGAAAAGTGATTGATTTTCTTTTTTTCAGATATATACCTCCTTGAGACGGGTGTTCAAGGTCTTGATTTGGTTCTTGTATTCTTCTTCACGTTGGTTAGCCTATTTATTGTTGTTGTTTATTTTTGTGGTTTTTACAGCAGGTGTTGGTCGGTCGTTTGGATGGGAATATATATTTTTTTGGTATAATATACAATGTTTTATGGAATTTAATGGAGTTTTTGTTGGATTTGTTTTATATTTATAAATGTAAGTGGTAAAAGTAGGAGTAGATGGTGTTTTATATATAAAGAGGAGGAGGAGGAATAAATAAAAAATATAATAGTTATTAAATAAATATAATGAATATAAAGAATTTTAAATGAAATCTTTAGTTTAAAACAAGAAATGTTTTAAAACATGGAAATTCAAAGTAAATTTTATTAAATTTGTTGAGATCAATTAAAAAAACAAATAAATTTTAAATAGATCCTGTTCCTTTCTGTTCAGCTGAAGTGAACTAGAACTGAACTAGAAGTGAATTGAACTGAACAAGAACTGTACTACAACTGAATTAGAACTAAACTAGAACTGAACTAGAACGGAACTAGAACTGTACTACAACTGAACTAGAACTGAACTAGAACTGAACTAGAACTGAACTAGAACTGAACTAGAACTGAACTAGAACTGAACTAGAACTGAACTAGAACTGAACTAGAACTGAACTAGAACTGAACTAGAACTGAACTAGAACTGAACTAGAACTGAACTAGAACTAAACTAGAACTGTACTACAACTGAACTAGAACTGAACTAGAACTGAACTAGAACTAAACTAGAACTGAACTAGAACTGTACTACAACTGAACTAGAACTGAACTAGAACTAAACTAGAACTGAACTTGAACTGAACTAGAACTGAACTAGAACTGAACTAGAACTGAACTAGAACTGAACTAGAACTGAACTAGAACTGAACTAGAACTGAACTAGAACTGAACTAGAACTGAACTAGAACTGAACTAGAACTAAACTAGAACTGAACTTGAACTGAACTAGAACTGAACTAGAACTGAACTAGAACTGAACTAGAACTGAACTAGAACTGAACTAGAACTGTACTACAACTGAACTAGAACTGAACTAGAACTGAACTAGAACTGAACTAGAACTGAACTAGAACTGAACTAGAACTGAACTAGAACTGAACTAGAACTGAACTAGAACTGAACTAGAACTGAACTAGAACTGAACTAGAACTGAACTAGAACTGAACTAGAACTGAACTAGAACTGAACTAGAACTGAACTAGAACTGAACTAGAACTGAACTAGAACTGAACTAGAACTGAACTAGAACTGAACTAGAACTGAACTAGAACTGAACTAGAACTGAACTAGAACTGAACTAGAACTGAACTAGAACTGAACTAGAACTGAACTAGAACTGAACTAGAACTGAACTAGAACTGAACTAGAACTGAACTAGAACTGAACTAGAACTGAACTAGAACTGAACTAGAACTGAACTAGAACTGAACTAGAACTGAACTAGAACTGAACTAGAACTGAACTAGAACTGAACTAGAACTGAACTAGAACTGAACTAGAACTGAACTAGAACTGAACTAGAACTGAACTAGAACTGAACTAGAACTGAACTAGAACTGAACTAGACTAACTGAACTAGAACTGAACTAGAACTGAACTAAAACTGGACTTGAACTGAACTCTAAAGTAATTTGAAGTATTTCTTTATAAGATTGAAGATTAGAATCAGATTTTAGATTATAAAATTCTGAGAAAGATATCCAAAATATTACACCATTTCAGATCTTATGAAATTTTAAATAAATTATTTAAACTGGAGGCCTTGAGTTAACAAAATTTATAAATTTTACTTATAAATATAATTTCAAAACATTTTCAATTTCATTCTAAAGATTTCACAAAATAATTATTTTATATTACAATATGAAGTTGATAATTATTTACAAGTTTAATTTAAAATTTGAATACTGACCTTTTCTTCAGAAACTTCGAGGGATTTCAAGTTGTTACCAACGACGCGGAGTTCTTCTTCAAGTTCAACAATTTTGCTAAGAAAATTTAAAAGTTTTAAATTAATATAAAAAGGAGTTTTAAAGGAGTTTAAATTCATTAATGTAAAAAAGGGTAAAATAGATAATAAAAGAAAGTCTTTGGTGGTTAAACATTTTACCTTTTTTTACAATAATAACATTAAATTTCAACAAAAAATTAAAGCATTTAATAGTTAGTTTTTAACAACAATTGCAACAAACCTTTCAGCAAGTTCAACTTTTTCCTCAGAACGTTCTAAATCTTGTTCCATGAGGACTAGTTTTCTGGCCACCTTTATATTTGGTTGTTTGGGGTTAGTTTATGGTTTTTGAACAAAAAAAATGGCAAGGCATCACACATCAAATACACGAGCAAATCCCATTAACAAATCCCGTTAACAATTACAAATATTAAACAATTTGTAATCAAAAACAGATTTGTTAAGAAATTGTATTTGAAATAGTTATAAACAAGTTAGCACACACAGGAGCGGGAATTTTTTTTAAGGTTAGAGCAGCGTATTTAAAACATAACAAAATAAAATTTTGTAAATGTTTTATTGAAAGCATTCAAAAATAAAACAAACAAAAAAATAATATATTAGTTTAAGAAATTTCATAAATTTCATAAAAGGAAATTATTAAATTACAACTTGATTTATGGCGAAAAAATGTGAATGTAATTATTTGTTTAAAAACGTTTTTTTCTTTTTACAAGAACTAATGAAGTAAAATGTTGTTTTTTTACAAAATTTTATACATATTTATATTAAACAAATAAAACATGCTTTTACTATAAACTAAAAGTTCATTATTCACATTTTTTATACAAAAACAAGTTGTTAATAAATTAATTAAAAACAAAAGAAACTAGCTAGCTAAATTTTGTTTTCTTTTTTCTTTCATTTTTGAGGTTAGGTTTTTAATATTAAAATAAAACAACAATTATCTTATAGATTTTTTAGTCCAGGCTTTTAAACGTCAACATTGAAAAATAAACATTTGCTTTCGAAATCTGTAAATAACCTACTTTTCTCCTTGTTCGGCACGTTCTTCAGCACGTTCCAAATCAGCTTCAACCATGGCCAATTTACGGGCAACCTTTTAATATTCATATGTGTAAATTAAATAACAAAATTTTCACACAATTCAATGGTTCAAATATAACGCGTACAAACATTGCAGTGGTGATTTAGTGTGGGGTAAGAAGAAGGGAAAATGAAACAAAAAAATAAAACATTTATAAGTAAACAAGAAAATTCTTTCCAGGTGGGTGGTTTGGCAGGCATATAACGCAACATCCATCAACAACATTAACAGAAAAATAAACGCTGGTATTTTGTTTTTCTTGGCAACAATCAATGATGATGATGATGATAAACAATGTAGCAGCAGCGTTTAAGATACAATTATTAAGTAACACAGCTTGTTTTTTTTTTTCTTTTTTTTTGTGTTTGCAGCAGCAGTAGCCGTTTGGTTAATAGCATTAGTTGTTTATAGGTTTATTAGGAGCACAGCCAGCATCTTAGCTGTTGTTATGGTTTATGATTTACATGTACAAATTACACATAGTAGTATTTTTTTGTGGGGTGAGGTTTTTTTAAGTGTCTTATTAAAAACTTGTGCTTAAATATTAAGAAATTTATTTGTATTTCTTTTTAAAGATGGCATAACCTTAAAGTAATTATTAGAAATATTTTCTATTTGATCAACATTTTAAATATTGATTTCATATATTTCTTAGCATTTTCAGAGAGAGTTAAAGAGTTGTTTCGAGTTTATCCTTAAACTTAATTTAAAAAGTAAAACATTGTTCTTGAAAGTTTCTAAAATTTAAAAAATGAAATCCCATTAATTAATATTTGAATGATTCCATAATTCCTTCAAACAAAACTCGTTTTTTGTATAGATCCTTCCTATTCAAACTCAAACTGAACTAGAACTGAGCTAGCACTGAGCTAGAACTGAACTAGAATTGAACTAGAACTGAGCTAGAACTGAACTAGAACTGAACTAGAACAGAACTAGAAATGAACTAGAACTGAACTAGAACTGAACTAGAACTGAACTAGAACTGAACTAGAACTGAACTAGAACTGAACTAGAACTGAACTAGAACTGAACTAGAACTGAACTAGAACTGAACTAGAACTGAACTAGAACTGAACTAGAACTGAACTAGAACTGAACTAGAACTGAACTAGAACTGAACTAGAACTGAACTAGAACTGAACTAGAACTGAACTAGAACTGAACTAGAACTGAACTAGAACTGAACTAGAACTGAACTAGAACTGAAGTAGAACTGAACTAGAACTGAACTAGAACTGAACTAGAACTAGAACTGAACTAGAACTGAACTAGAACTGAACTAGAACTGAACTAGAACTGAACTAGAACTGAACTAGAACTGAACTAGAACTGAACTAGAACTGAACTAGAACTGAACTAGGAACTGAACTAGGACTGAACTAGAACTGAACTAGAACTGAACTAGAACTGAACTAGAACTGAACTAGAACTGAACTAGAACTGAACTAGAACTGAACTAGAACTGACTAGAACTGAACTAGAACTGAACTAGAACTGAACTAGAACTGAACTAGAACTGAACTAGAACTGAACTAGACTGAACTAGAACTGAACTAGAACTGAACTAGACTGAACTAGAACTGAACTAGAACTGAACTAGAACTGAACTAGAACTGAACTAGAACTGAACTAGAACTGAACTAGAACTGAACTAGAACTGAACTAGAACTGAACTAGAACTGAACTAGAACTGAACTAGAACTGAACTAGAACTGAACTAGAACTGAACTAGAACTGAACTAGAACTGAACTAGAAACTGAACTAGAACTAGAACTACTAGAACTGAACTAGAACTGAACTAGAACTGAACTAGAACTGAACTAGAACTGAACTAGAACTGAACTAGAACTGAACTAGAACTGAACTAGAACTGAACTAGAACTGAACTAGAACTGAACTAGAACTGAACTAGAACTGAACTAGAACTGAACTAGAACTGAACTAGAACTGAACTAGAACTGAACTAGAACTGAACTAGAACTGAACTAGAACTGAACTAGAACTGAACTAGAACTGAACTAGAACTGAACTAGAACTGAACTAGAACTGAACTAGAACTGAACTAGAACTGAACTAAAACTGAACTAGAACTGAACTAGAACTGAACTAGAACTGAACTAGATCTGAACTAGAACTGACTAGAACTGAACTAGAACTGAACTAGAACTTAACTAGAACTGAACTAGAATAATTTCAAAATCCAATTGTCGTTGGTGTGAAAAGAATTTGGTCGAATTCTAAGAAATTTAAATTTGAAAATAAATGAATAAAAAGGTCGACTTTTTTGTCTTAAAAAAAGTTTGCAGCTTTATGGAAACAAAAAAACTTTGTCCGGGGAGTGTATGAGACAGTCTTGAGTATTAAGTCCGACCTTTAACTGTTGTTAACAATCAGCGAAAGACGATTTTTTACCTTTCTTTAAAAAAAGTTATTAAAAATACTATACAAAACTATTAAAAAAATTGCTATTTTATTTTTCTAAATTCAGCGAAAAAAAGTATAAGCAATAGATCCCTGAGAGTGTGTGTAGATCTAATAAATTTATAATTAATATTAATATACTTTTAACACCTTGTCACTTTTAATTAATAAAAAAAATAGAAAATAAAAACTTTGCGCTCAGATCTACAGCTGTGATAACTTTTATTTATAGTTAACTACGACAGCAAAACCTCTCCTCTTAAAGCGAAAAGTAAATATATATAAATATAAATAATCGGCTATAAAAGCAAATCATTAAAGTGCAGCGAGAACACTCCTTCACTTTTATGTTAATAATAAGAAATTTAAAGGAATTAAATGTTTCAAAACAACTGAGTTTTGATTTAATTTAAAATTTTGACAAATTTTGAATTAAAGCTAGGGAATAAGCTGCCAATATAGTCTGTTAGGCAATAATACTTTATGTCCTAAAGTAAGCCTTTTTAGATTTGACTCTTTTAAATATTAGATTAAACAAAATCAATAATTAACTAATTAGCTCTTTGTGGTTATTGCAATATAATGCAAAAAGTATAATGAACTGGCCTCTACAAAGAAGTATTTTTAACCTACTTTGTATAAGATTTATACAAATTAAAAAATAATTTTTAATTTCAATCTGTTTTGTTTTCTAAAAAAAAAAAAAAAAAAAGTGAAATTTATACAATTTAAATGAATCATTTCAATCATTACTTCATTTGGCTATGATAACAAAAAGCAAAAAAATTGAAATCAAAATCAAACATAGTGTGTAATGTAAGAGGTACGAGGTAGTACTAGTAGTCCAACCATTAAAATCTATATAACTAATGAATGTATATGGAATTTATCTACACAGCTGCTGAGAAGCTGTTGTTAGTGGTCAATCATTCATGGCCAAATATAGTATTTTGTTTTGTTTTTTATTTTTTCCTAACATATGCATGTTTAAGATTTGTTTGTATTTTTTTGCATAAATTTTTAAAATACAAACATGAAAATATTTTAAAGCACATACAGCTCCAGAGCTTTCTTTTACTTTATTATACGAGTATGTATGCATATTTTTAAATAAATAAAAAAATTTCAGTCACTCAACCAACCAGTCATTCAGTTCAGTTATCAAGTGGTGTGTGGTATGAATCATTTAATAAACAAATTTTGTATGATTGTTTCAAGAAATATTTGATGATACTTAAAAACAGCAAAAGAAAAAAAAAATTAGGTAACACTTTGTTTTTGTTTTTTAATTCCCAGAATAAATTTTTACTCAATTATGTTACATAAGTCGAGGAGGGTATATGTTTACTCATACTTTTGCTTGAGTTTATGTCGTAAAGAAGTCATTTACCAGGGAGTTTTTCTTTATTATCGATAAGCAACATTTATTTATATACTTTGGGGGGAAAAAGTTGACGTCATTATATGAAAAAAGTATCATAAACAAGTATTTTTATAAAGAAATTACTATTAAGAAGCACTTTTTGTTTATTTAGGGCTTTAAATAAAAACACAAAAAACATTCTGTTAATGTATTTGTAAAATTCAGTGAAAATTATTGAATTTCTTTAATTGTTTTGTTAAAGTAACTATTCTTGAGACCTTCAATTAGTCAATACATTTCTTTAAAACCAATTGAGAAATATATTACAATCAAATTTTTATACGAAAGTATAAAGCTTGAAGGTTTTTAATTCAAAATCTAATTCATTCGTGTTAAAATTATAAAAAAATTCTTAT